CTGTGATCCTCTGATCTTAGCCTTCAGAGTAGCTAGAATTACAAACATGAGTCACTAGCACCTGGCTTAAGACTTTGTGTGTATGTGCACGAGTGCACACATATGTGCGTACATGTGTGCTCATGTGTGTGTATGCATGTGAGCAGGTCCTGAGGCTTCAAGCCTCTCTGGGCCTGGGTGCTATCCCTGAGCTTTTGGGCTTAAGGCCAGCACTCTACTGCTTGAGCCACAGATCCACTTCCAGCCTTTTGGTTTATTTGAGATAAGAATTTCATGAAATTGCTTGCGCTGGCTATCTTTGAACCATGATCCTCAAATCTCAGCCTTCTGACTAGCTAGGATAACAAGCATGAGACACCAGTGTCCAGCTAAGACTTACTTAATGTGTTAAGAGGCCTTTGTTTCCCTCGCTCCTTTCCTTTTTGTTTTTTAATGGACAGATGTTGTTTTACAATAATTTTATACATGAATCCACTTAATAACCCTCTAATAGATATATGTTTTCTTTGAGTTTTACTGTTATCCCCCTCTTTGCTCTGCAGTATTGTTAACATACTTGAATTGTAGCTTCAGATACTTGCAAGTAATCTAGATTTTTTTTTTTTTTTTGAGACAGTGTCTTGTTATATATTGTTGAGGCTGGTCCTGAGCCCTGGCCACAAATGGTCGTCCCACCTCAGCCTTCCAAGTGGAACTACAAGGAAGGATCCCCATGCCTGGCAGTAGGCTTTTGTATAAAGAGAATAATAATATACCTGCCTTTCTTCTCCCCATTATTGTTTTCTGTTTACTGCTTCACATAGTTTTCTGTTGAGGGATATGAATTCAGTGGCTCTTTTAAAAAAGAAACTCCTTTTTCTCATCAGGATCTTCAGTGGTACTAAGATATCTTACATATAATTTCTTATCTTTTTTTTTTTTTTTTTTTGGGGTCCAGTCGTGGGGCCTGAACTCTGGGCCTGGGCGCTATCGCTTAGCTCTTCAGCTCAAGGCTAGCGCTCTCTACCACTTCTAGCTTTTTTTCTTTTTGCTTATGTGGTGCTGGGGAATCGAATCCTGGGCCTCATGCATGCAAGGCAAGCGCTCTACCACTGAGCCACCTTCCCAGCCCCTAATTTCTTATCTTAATCACTCTCGATTTCTTTATATAATTGTAGATGTTCTTCTATTAATGCTTGCTAAAACAGCACTTTTCCTTACCAGTGTTGGGTTGCCATCTAGGGGTGAAAGAGTGTACAACGACAGTATAGGGCAAAACTTTTTCTTAGTTGGAATCTTTACCTGACTCAGAGAAGTTGAGGCTAAGGCAGGTGAAGGAACTTGCATAATACTTCATGTTGTATTAGTAGCTATATGGACAAGTTAAGTTTGGTGACTTTCTGTGCTCTTTCCCCCACCCCACTCTCCTTGCCTCGGGGCTTGAACTCAGGGATTGGGCACTGTCCCTGAGCTACTTTTTTTTTTTTTTTTTTGGGTCCGGTCATGGGGCCTGAACTCTGGGCCTGGGCGCTGTCCCTCAGCTCTTGAGCTCAAGGCTAGCGCTCTATCACTTGAGCCACAGCGCCACTTCTGGCTTCTTTTTTTTTGCTTATGTGGTACTGAGGAATAGAACCCAGGGCCTCATGCATGCAAGGCAAGTACTCTATCACTAAGCCACCTTCCCAGCCTCAAGTTTCCTATCTTTACTAAGTACTGTACAGTTATACAAAGCCACTATTTTGTCTCTTGACGACAGTCTATCACATGGAGTGCCTCTGAATGAAAGGACTGATTTTTTTTTTCCCCCTAAAGTATGTGTAATAAAAGAAATATATATATATATATTTACATAAGGATAATATAATGCAGTCCTAACTTGTTCTTCATATTGATCTCAGTACATGTAATTATAATATTTTTCCTAATTATAGTTTATTTTGTTATAGCTAACACATTGTTTTGTTACATACAAAAAGGTATAATTATACAAAGACTTCACTTTACAAATGTAAATACAGTCTTGGTTTGGTGTATATTGGATACAATGGTCTTCCTTGAGCCTAAACACAGAAACAAAAGCTTGTATTATAAGAGAAAGTCCAAGATGGGAAGTGATAAAATGGGCATTGAGTAGAGCTTTGTTAGAATTTAGCGGGTATCCTTGTAAAATTTCCATGTATTCATTAAGTTATATTATGTCATTTTTATTATTAGGAGCTGAAGTTTTGAGTTTTGCTCTCATAAAGAGTTGTGACAATTTGATCACTGTTGGAAGAGTCAGATTTATTTCATTTCATATAAGTATTGTATAGATATTAAAGTTGAGATTGTTAGTAGTGTTACGATTTTTTTTTTTTTTTTTTGTCGGTTGTGGGCCTGAACTCTTGGCCTGGGCACTGTCCCTCAGCTCTTTAGCTCAGGGTTAGCCCTCTACCGCTTGAGCCTTAGCGCCACTTGCGGCTTTTTCTACTTATGTGGTGCTGAAGAATCGAACCCAGGGCCTCATGCATGAAAGGCAAGCATTCTACCAGTGAGCCACCTTCCCAGCCCGTGTTAAGATTTTTTTTTTTTGGGTCCGGTCATGGGGCCTGAACTGTGGGCCTGTGCGCTGTCCCTCAGCTCTTCAGCTCAAGGCTAGCACTCTACCACTTGAGCCACAGCGCCACTTCCGGCTTTTTTCTTTTTGCTTATGTGGTGCTGAGGAATCGAACCCAGGGCCTCATGCATGCAAGGCAAGTGCTCTACCACTGAGCCACCTTCCCAGCCCCCGTGTTAAGATTTTTATATGCATTTGGGAATAATTTTTTTGTTATGAAGGAGAGAACTGTATTATAGGTTATCTTGTTGGTGTAGAAGCTATACATCTGAAAATAGTCAGAATGCTAGCTAGCAGTGGTGAAACACCTTTTGCTTGTTTGGTCCTTAAAGGTGGGTTTTTAAAACTTAAAAAATAGAGATTATTGGCTTGTATACAGAGGGGGGATTTTGTTATTACATCTGTATCCATGTTTACACTGCATTACAAGCTGACTTCTCCTATTACTCTCCTTTTCTCTCCATTCAAAAAAGCCTCCCAAATGTCTCATTGTTCCTTTTTCATAGTTGCAATTTATTTCTTCATTATTCAACTCCCACCCTTCCTATCAGCCCAGCCCCTCTTTCTGCTAGTACCCACCCACTGATAATTTTCTTTCTTCTTTTTTTTTGGTTGGTCGTGGGGCTTGAACTCTGAGCCTGGGCACTGTCCCTGTGCTCTTCAGCTCAAGGCGAGCATGCTACCACTTCAGCCACAGCGTCACTTCTGGTTTTCTAGTGGTTTATTGGAGATAAGAGTCTCACGGACTTTCCTGCCCTTCCCTGTCCAGGCTGGTTTTGAACCGTGATTCTCAGATCTCAGGCTCCTGAGTAGCTAGGATTATAAGCGTGAGCCACCAGAGCCAGGCCCCACTGACAGCTTTCTTCCCCCACCTTCCTTGGTTTTAAAAATCTTTAGTTTTGGCAAATGTTCTTAGTTTTAACTAAAAGCCAGAACTACAAAATGAAGTGGCAGGATTTTTAACAATACAAGGTGTCCCAAGGTGTAACATAGTTTTAAGACTACAAAAATGCAAGTTACAAACTTAAAATACCATTAGAAAATTCAGTTTCTTACATTTCTTCAATGCTTCCTTAATTTTTGTTTTGAATAATTCACTTTTTCATACATAGTTGCAGTGTATTTTGAAATTAGTCACTCTGGGGCTGGGAAGGTGGCTCAGTGGTAGAGTGCTTGCTTTGCATGCCTGAGGCCCTGGGTTTTATTCCTCAGCACCACATACGCAGGAAAAAAAAAAGCCGGAAGTGTTGCTGTGGCTCAAGTGGTAGAGTGCTAGCCTTGAGCTGAAGAGCTGAGGGACAGTGCCCAGGCCCAGAGTTCAGGCCCCACGACCGGACCCAAAAAAAAAAAATTAGTCACCCTATATTTTTTTCTCTTTCTCTTCCCCTCATTTCTCTAAAAATCCCATAGTTATGAATAATACATTACTTTTTTTTTATTGTCTGAAAATGGCAAGTTGAAGTAAATTAAAAAATGCGTTACTCAGTGTTACTTTGTGTCCTTTTTTTTGTTCATGGGGCCTGAACTCTGGGCCTGGGTGCTGTCCCTCAGCTCTTGAGTTCAAGGCTAGCACTCTACCACTTGAGCCACAGCGCCACTTCCGGCTTTTTTCTTTTTGCTTATGTGGTGCTGAGGAATTGCACCCAGGGCCTCATACATGCAAGGCAAGCGCTCTACCACTGAGCCACCTCCCCAGCCCCTCAATGTTACTTTGTGGATATCTACTTGGAATTCTAGGGAACTATGCAGATTATCTTTTTTTAAGAACTCAAAACTCTATACAGTTAACTACTACAGTATTACTGTTGGGCAAGTGGCTTTCCACTGAACCCTAGCTACATCTCAGTGTTTATGTTGTAGCTCACGAAAAGTTCAGGTTTGAAACAAAGATAACCTGAGGAAATCAGCTAATCTTGTTTTAGGAAGTGAGATTTGATTAACTTTTAGCCTAGGCTAAAGCTTACCCGAAGTCGTTATTAGTGATTACATAATATGGGGTGGGGGAAGTAAACTTAAAGGAAAACAAGTGAGATTTATTAGTGATATTTATTCCTGATAGCGTCACTTTGTCCAGTACTGCTTTTTTTTTCTTTTAAACAGCAAATCAAATTCATTGTAAACTCAAGGAAGGGTTTGGTTGAGCACAATAGCCTATAAGCTCTTTGCTATTTAGATAACATCTAGACTCAGACGTGCGCTGTGGAATTGGAACTTCAGTGAGTTAGCAAGATAGGGTTTATTCAGATAATAGCTCTGCCAGTGTCAGCAGAAGAATATATCTCTTAAAAGCCTGTATAAATTTTTTTTAAAAAATTCTAAATTCAAATGCCTTAATCATTTTTAAAGCAATTTAAAAAGAAGTATTTGACATACAGTTTTCAAACTTGAATGGATTTTTATGCTTAGTTTTGTTTTTATTTTAAAGAGCCAGCTTCTGAAAGCCCCTGTGTCAGCATTTGAGGAATGATGGTATAGTGCTATTGGTAAGAAAAATTTCTTTTATTTTTTGTGATGGTGAGATTGACTTTAACACATATGCTCTAGCAAATCACTAAAACTACACTTTAAATATTATTTTAAGTTTTGCTATTAATGCTTTAAATATCTGATTATGTGAGAATATATGCATTTTGATAATACACATTTTGATAAGCAGTGTATCTCATGTTTTTAATATAGTTATGGTGTCACTGAAATGTTAGAGGCTTTCTATTTATGTACGTTTTCAAATTTTAAGTAAACATTTATGATATGTATATGTTTTAAATTTAAGTATGTTGGAAAATTGTTATTTTGGAGTTCTTTAAAACTTTAGGTGAAGAGTGAATTCTTGTTTATTTCCTATGATGTATATAATATGCTTAAAGTGAGTAATAGTTGACTTAAAGAGCAGTTTTACATTTAAATTATTTTTCACAATTTACTAACTATGGCAAAATTTATAAGAAAAGGATTTTACTTAAAAAGCAATTCAGTTCTAGATAAAGTAATGATGTGGTCAATAATTTAGAAAAGTATGAAAATAGGTTGTTAAAGTTGATTTATAAATAATCAAAATAGTTTTTGCTATGTTCTTTAATTGTGGGAGATCAGAATATTGCTAGGATAGACTAAGATGAACTTAGTCAAGATATATTAGAAAAGTTTTTAAGTAGTTGTAAGTATGTGGCCTTAATGAAAACATTAAGTTTTAATAGATGTTCTTTAAAATTATAAGCATGTGCCTATTGATCTGATAAAATTTCTTACACGGGGAAAAATAGGATTTATAAAAGTGAGACATTATTTGTAAGCAAGGCTAAAAGATAAGGATGTAGAAGAGTAAGATTCGAAAACCAACAACAAAAGTTACTTGAATTAAAGAGTTTACCCAAAGTACTGCCATATAGTAGGTTGAGCAGTGGACTTGAGCCTTTTATGGAATCAGAGTTGTCAATATTTATGCTTCTTGAAGAGCTGTTATGTAACCTTATAAATACAACTGCCACATAATAGGATTCTCTTGGCATACACTTCCCAATATCTTTGGGAATTTGTGTCATTTCACTGGAATTGCTAGTATGCTCATCTTCTTATAAATGGGCAAACAATGTCAAACAGCAGGATCCTCAGTGGCAGGGCCAGACTTCTGGAATCAACTTGTGTGTGTGTGTGTGTGTGTGTGTGTGTGTGTGTGTGTGTGTGTGTGTGTGTGTGTGTGTTGTGTGTGTGTGTGTATATTTATGTGTTTCTTGACTTCTGGAATCAACTTGTGTGTGTGTGTGTGTGTGTGTGTGTGTGTGTGTGTGTGTGTGTGTGTGTGTGTGTGTGTGTGTGTGTGTGTGTGTGTGTGTGTGTGTGTGTGTTGTGTGTGTGTGTGTATATTTATGTGTTTCTTCCTGGGGCTTGAACTCAGCGCCTGAGCTTTTTTGCTCAAGGTTAGCACTCTACCACTTGATTTAGAGTTCCACTTAAAAAAAAAAAATTGGTGAGAAGAGTCTCATTGACTTTAATGGGCCCAGGCTGGCTTCAAACTGGGATCCTCAGATCTTAGTCTCTTGAGTAGCTAGGATTACAGGAGTTAGCCGGTACCTGACTGGAAACAACTTACACTTGGAGCACACATTGGTTTCTGGCAGCACCAATTGGCAAAGCAGTCTTGAAACCCAGCTCAAGTTGCCCCTTTGTTTTCCCCATGGTAGAACCCATGGAGTTGCCTCTAAACTACCCACCCAGTCAACAGCTTGCACCTGCCTGTCAGTACCCTACCTGCTATCCACCTACTATTTTTAGTTCCAGAGTCTCTCAGGGATTGGGCCCTTCTGCCACTCTGGAATCAGTTTGCAAGGATGCAGACTACAGAATATAGTCTCACAGCTCTCAGCAGTATACAAGAGCATAATGTCATTCTTTTTTTTTTTTTGGGTCCGGTCGTGGGCTTGAACTCTGGGCCTGGGCGCTGTCCCTCAGCTCTTCACCTCCAGGCTAGCACTCTACCACTTGAGCCACAGCACCACTTCTGGCTTTTTTTTTCTGCTTATGTGTTGCTGAGGAATCGAACCCAGGGCCTCATGCATGCAAGGCAAACACTCTACCACTGAGCCACCTTCCCAGCCCCCATAATGTCATTCTTATCTAAATGCTTTTTTTTTTTTCTTTCTAGTTGCTTTTAGTTTTTTGGTTTTTTTTTTTTTTCTTGCACTTTTTTGGAAAGCAGTTTGCTTAGTTTTTTTTTTTTTTTTGCCTAGTATTAGTTGAACTTCTTGAATCTGTTCATAATTTTCAACTACTGTGGAAAGAATTTGTCATTTTATTGCACTTTTTTTTTTTTTGTGGGAGGGGTCCCTTTTACATCTTGCCATGAATACTAGGATGCTTTAGGTTCAGGTTCCACAGCTTACAGTGGCTATAGGTTTTTTGGTTTTTTTTTTGGTCTGGTCCTGGGGCCTGAACTCTGGGCCTGGGCGCTGTCCCCCAGCTCTTGAGCTCAAGGCTAGCATTCTACCACTTGAGCCACAGTGCCACTTCCGGCTTTTTTCTTTTTGCTTATGTGGTGCTGAGGAATCGAACCCAGGGCCTCATGCATGCAAGGCAAGCGCTCTACCACTGAGCCACCTTCCCAGCCCCAGGCTGTAGGTTTTTTAGTTTTTTATTTTTATTTTTTTAAATCACCATTCTTTTTAGGTGGCTTCCACTATGATACATGCAAACAATGACTGCTGATCTTTTTCATAGAGAAAGAGTTTGGACTTGGCTTTATTTTTTAAAAATCCAAAGTAGGTAGCCCTTTAGACAATGATTGCTGATCTTTTTCATAGAGAAAGAGTTTGGACTTGCTTTATTTTTTAAAAATCCAAAATAGGTAGCCTTTGAGAATTTTTCTGCCTCAAGTCAAATTGATTTAGTGGATCATTATTACCACATTGGAATAATAGTATGCTTCAGGGCCCAAGCACTGCCCAAAACTGAGAAGGTGGTTCTTTTTTGTTGTTGTTGTTGTTGCTGCTGCTGCTGCTGCTGCTGCGGCTGCTAGTCCTGGAGCTTGAACTCAGGGCCTGGGCGCTGTCCCAGAGCTTCTTTAGCTCAAGGCTAGCATTCTACTACTAGAGCCACAGCACCACTTCTGGCTTTTCTGTTTATGTGGTACTGAGGAATGGAACCCAAGGGCTTCATGCATGCTAGACAGCACTCTACCACTAAGCTACATTCCCAACCTTTGAAGTTGTTCTTAAATTACTCAAAGGTTTTGTTTATTTGTTTGTTTATTTTTTCGTCACTGTGGGGCTTGAACTCTGGGCCTGGGTGCTGTCCCTGAGGCTCTTTGTGCTCAAGGCTCACTTTCTACCTCTTGAGTCACAGCACTACTTCCCATTTTGAGTAGTTTATTGGAGATAAGCCCTGGCTGGCTTCTAATTGATCCTCAGAGCTCATCCTCCTGAATAGCTAAGATTACAGGAGTTGAGCCACCAGCACTGGCTACCCAAAGGTTTTTGAATGGCAATGTGATTTGTGTAAGGTCCATTCCTGGATGGCCAGCAGACCCCACCCAGTACCTGCGTTACCTAGGCAACTGGGACACCTGGAAGAGGTCACATCTGCATCCGCTGAGGTCACATCTGAATCTGATGTGGCCACACCTTTCTCCCACCTGGTCCCACCTCTTACCTGGTCCTACTTCCCTTTACCTGGACCCCTCCCCCCCCCCCACCCCCATATAAGGCCTAACCCAGGGCCAGACGCTCTCTTTTGCCAGCCTCGTGGAGTGCCAACCTTGCCTAGTTCCAGCAGATCTACTAAATAAACATATCCCTTACCTGAATACCACGTGTCTGGTGGTGTTCTTTTTAAAAACCTAACAATTGGGGCTGGGAAGGTGGCTCAGTAGTAGAGCGCTTGCCTTGCGTGCATGAGGCCCTGGGTTCGATTGCTGAGCACCACATAAACAAAAAGAAAAAAGCTGGGGGCTGGGAAGGTGGCTCAGTGGTAGAGCGCTTGCCTTGCAATGCATGAGGCCCTGGGTTCGATTCCCCAGCACCACATAAGCAAAAAAGAAAAAAGCCGGAAGTGGCGCTGTGGCTCAAGTGGTAGAGCGCTAGCCTTGAGCTTAAGAGCTGAGGGACAGCTCCTAGGCCCGGAGTTCAGGCCCCAGTACCGGACCCCCCAAAATAAATAAATAAATAAAAACCTAACAATTTTTTTAGAGCAGCTGGATCATATATCTTTAAGACTTTCCCATTTCCACAAAGACACTGAGCCCAGTGTTTTTCATTGATTATTTGGTTGATGATATATGCGGAGAGATAATGTATGAGATTAAAATTTTTCATCTGACTTTGACTTGGCTCTTTATACTTATCAGGTCATTTATTGAAGCAAGTGTTTCCGACTACCTGCCATGTGCCAAAGTGGCCATAAATGGATAGATGAATGGAATTATAGCATCTGAAATAGGGAGGTAATAGCAACTCAAATTTTTTTGGATTCAGACTGACTCTTTTATACAAATGATTGTGGATGATACAAGAGATTTTGTTTATCTGGGTTATATCTATTTATAATTGAATTACAGGTTAAAACTGGTAAGTTTGCCAGGCTTGGTGATGCCTGTGATCCAACAATAAGGGAAGCTGAGGCCAGAGGATTTCTAGTTCAAGGCCAGCCTCAAAGACAAAGTGAGTTTCAGGCCATTCTAAACTACTTAGTGGGATCTTGTCTCAAAACCAAAACAAACAGAAAACAAACAAAATCCTGATATTTTAAATAAAGTTGTCTGTTGGTATCTGTGGGTATTGATTTGATTGAGGATTCTATTCGGATACCAAATTCTGAGGCTGCTCAAGTTCCATATATAACATGGTGTAGTATTTTTATTTTCCCGTGGTGTAGTATTTTTATTTTCCCCTTGCATGCCCTACCTTTGTGTCTTTTTTTTGGGGGGGGGGGGTCCAGTCGTGGGGCTTGAACTCTGGGCCTGGGCGCTGTCCCTCAGCTCTTCAGCTCAAGGCTAGCGCTCTACCACTTGAGCCACAGTGCCACTTCCGACTTTTTTCTTTTTTGCTTATGTGGTGCTGAGGAATCAAACCAGGGCCTTAGGCATGCAAGGCAAGCACTCTACCACTGAGCCACCTTCCCAGCCCCCTTTTGTGTCTTAAGACATCTGTCAAGTACTTATCCCTCATTCAATGAAAGTGCTTTATGAATAGTTCTTAAGGAATAATGGCAAGATAAAGGTCTATATATGTTTAGTACAAATTCAGAGTTTTCTCCCCTCAAATATTTCTGATCTTGGTTGGTGGAACCTTGGGATGCACAAATCACTGGCTGTAATTAGCACAACTTAACAAATCATTGCTAAAATTATCCATCCTGATTACAACAATAATATTTTGTGCAAAGTTGGGTAGATAATTTCTGACATGTTAAATGGAAATGCTGAAGTTTCTTTGTACTGTGAAGAAATTGTGGAGAAATTTAGTTCATTTGACTAGAGAAAATTGATCCCTAGGAATTTTCCATACTCTACAGGGAGCCTTCTGACTAGATTCCCTCACTTCTAATGAAGTCAATGTTATCTACATGTGAGAATAAAGTTACAGTGACAAGTTTTGAGCATCTCCAGGCAGTTCTTTCCTATGAAGGCAAGAAGGATTACCTTCATGAATGTCTGTGGTTTTGTTTTTGTTTTTTGTTTTTTGGGTGCTGGAACTCAGGGCCTGGTCACTATCCCTGAGCATTTTTTGCTCAAGGCTAGCATTCTTCCACTTGATCCACAACACTACTTCTGGATTTCTGGTAGTTAATTGGAGAGAATAGTGTCATGGACTTTCCTGCCTGGCTACCTTTGAACTGAGATCCTTAGATCTCAGCCCCCTGAGTAGCTAGGATTAGAGGCGTGAGCCACTGGTGTTTGGTTTGTTTCTTTTTTTCTTTTTTTTTAATTAGCTTGCTTTTTTTTTTTTTTTAGGTCATTTCCCCCTTTCCAAAACAATTTTTAACAGGTTTCATTGTTTTATTTTCATAGCTTCAAATTATGTATTACATATTCTTTCATTTTCCTTGTTAGTTGAGCCCTTCCTCGATGGGAAGACATATAGATAAGGAGTATCTATTTAAATAGATGAGCTTACATGTTAGGTAAGATTTTCTTTCTTTTTTTTAATTTTATTTGGTTTTATTTGTGAACATACTGTACAGAGGGGTTACAATTACATGGGCAGGATAATGCGTACATTTCTTACCAAGCATTGCAGCCTCCTCCTTTGTTTACCCTTCACATCCCTTCCCAGCCTCCCCCCCCCCTCCCCCAGGTAAGATTTTCTTGAAATGCGTATTTTCTTTTTCTTTTTTTAAAATGTTTTTTATTGGGCTGGGAAGGTGGCTCAGTGGTAGAGTGCTTGCCTTGCATGCATGAGGCCCTGGGTTCGATTCCTGAGCACCACATAAGCAAAAAGAAAAAAAAAAGCCGGAAGTGGCACTGAGGCTCAAGTGGTAGAGTGCTAGCCTTGAGCTGAAGAGCTGAGGGAAAGTGCCCAGGCCCAGAGTTCAGGCCCCACAACCAGACCCCAAAAAAAACAAACAAAAAAATGTTTTTTATTGTAAAAATACTGTACAGAGGGGTCACAGTTACAAGAGTAAGGTAATGAGTACATTTCCTATCGAACATTGTTACCTCCTCTGTTTTTCCCCTACCATCCCTTCCCTCTCCAACTCCGCCCTCCACTCCCTCCCCCAAAGTTGTAAAGTTCATTTTCAACATACGTCTTGTACCTCTCATTGTTACAGGGTCAACCTATATCCTTATTTCAGCATTTTGTTATTTCCCTTCCTCTCCCCAAATTAGAAAAATGTATATACAAGATTCAGGGCACCAGAATCAAATACAGTGAAAACAGGGATTATACCGTGGGGGAAGAACATACTTAAGAAACAAACAAAAAAAAAATCAAATAGTACATTATAAATAAATTAAAAACAATAGCAAGAAAGAAAAAACCACTTTTGTCCTTATCTTGGGGTTCATTTCGCTTCACGTCATCCTTATATGATCATATGTACATAGCTTTTGACCTTTTCTGCTTGTTCTAGACATATGTTATTTATTGCAAATAAGGGATGAGATGCATGTTTCCTAAGAAGCAAAAACAATTGGAAACAAAATGGCATTGTTTTGTACTTTGCAAATCTTGAAAAGGTTGTTGAAGATGTAATTGAATTGCAGAAAAATATGGAAAAATATGTTTGTGAGGCTTGTGAGTTTTCTCCCTAGCCAAACTCCATGGGTAGTTTAAGACCATTGGAAATTTCTTGGTGAACTTGGAATTGGGACAGGTGGTCAGTTAAGTGTTCTCAGTAAGAGTGTTCCTGCCATAGTAATAATGGATTCTTGACCTGGAATTGCCATGGTATCACTGCTAAGCAAGCATCGGTTGGGTGATGAATAATCTTGAGAGGCTTTGGAGTTGTTTTCCCTGTTGATGTGTTGTTACTTCTTTACTCTAGTTCAAAGTATAAATTGAATTCTATAAAGCATTTTAAATCAAGGGGTTAAATTTAAGACTACTTGAATCTGGGGAATGAGAAAGGACGATTTTATAATAGGTTTTCTTAGAATTTAAATTGTTCTGAATCAAGTCTATAGCAAGTATAGGTGTATCAATGCAATGTTCTTAGTTTTAGTTAACATACTGTTGAATTGCCAAGAGAACCAACTTAATTATATCAAATGGACTTGTATTATAAGAAAATTAGGAAGGGGTTGGGGGTTTAGCTCACTGGAAGAGCCTGGCAAGCGCAAGGCCCTGAGTTCGGTCTTCAGCTCTGGAAAAAAAAAAAAAAGCTATAAAAGAAAATTAGGAAGTATTCAACATTGTCTTGGAAGAATTACTATTTAACTAAAATATTTTCAAAGACAACTGTAGAATGAAGTTAAATAGTTATTGGGATTTTAAAAAGTCAGAATACTTTCAGGCAGTTGTAGAATGAAGTTAAAACAGTCTATTGAGATTAAAAAAAAATTCACCAACATTTGTTTATTCCCTCAGTTATCTTCAAGTGTTGTGAAGCACAAACTTTTCAAATCCCTGTAGATATGGACAGAGAAGAAAGGAAGACTATCAACCAGGGTCAAGAAGATGAAATGGTAATCAGCTTTCATGCTTTACTTGTGAAGTATGTGATATTTTTTCATAGAAAGTAGAAAAGTACAGTTTACAATCTCAGTAGAGGGGCTGGGAAGGTGGCTCAGTGGTAGAGTGTTTGTCTTGTATGTATGAGGCCCTGGGTTTGATTCCTCAGCACCTCATAAACAGAAAAAGCTGGAAGTGGCGCTGTGGTTCAAGTGGTAAAGCGCTAGCCTTGAGCAAAAGAAGCTCAGAGATTTTAAGCCCCATGACTGGAAAAAAAAGTCAGTGAGGTGTTTTTTTTTTTTTTTCCCCTCTTATCCTATGTTTTTGAAATTGAGATTATGTAGTATCTGTATTTGTTGGCTAAAACTTGGAGAAGTATGCTTTGGCATTTGGTAATTGAAGATATTAAACTAGCTAATAATAAAATAAAATCCCTAATAAAGATTTTCAGTTTACAGTGTCTGATGAAACATGTTTGCAATGTATTTTTTTTCTTTTTAAAATTTTTTTAAAATTTAATTTTATTGTCAAGGTGATGTACAAAGTGGTTACAGTTACATAAGGTAGTCAGTACATTTCTTGTCAAGCACTGTTACCCCCTCCCTCATTTTTCTCCCACTTTCCCTCTCCCACAATGCACCCTCTGCTGCATTGGCTTTGTCTCACCATTTTGCCGTTTGCAATGTATTTTGTAAAAATCGATAGTTTTTTTATCTTTTGATTTCTTTAATAAATATTTTGAAATACTGTAAAAAAAGATTTTCAGTTTTAGTATAGTTGAAAAACCAACTTAATTGGAAAAACACTAACAAAAAAACCTTGTTTTAGTTATGGAGCTAGAGTGGGGCTATGTCAGGTAAAATAAAAGATGTTTTAAATGTGAATTTCAAATACCAAGGAATAAATTTTTGGCATATGTTTCAAATGTTTTATGAGACAGACAAAAAATTCATTTCTTATTTGAAATTTAAGACCTCTGCATTTTGGTTTGTTACATCTGGAAATCCTTGTGGTAGTTGTAATGAGATCATTTCTATGCCCGGGTGCAGTGGCTCATACCTGTAATCCCAGATACTCGCTTAAAGGTGGAGATTGAAAGGATCAGTTTGAAACCAGCCCTAGCAAAAAGTTAGCATGACCCTTATTTTACCAAGTAAGTAGGTTGCGAATGAACAGGTAAGTGGATCAGAATCTGAAGCCAGACCCAGGCAAAATGATGAGAATACTATCTGAAGAATAAAGACTGGACATCAGTAGCTCACTACTGCAATCCTAGTTACTCAGGAGGCCAAGATCTGAGGATTCCAGTTCAAAGCCAGCAAAGGCAAGAAAGTTCATGAAACTCTTGTCCCAAATTAACCACTAAAAAGCTGAAAGTAGATAGAGCTGGGACTCAAGTAGAGAGCACCTAGTCTTGAGGAATAAAAGCTCAGGGACAACAGTGTTAAACCCTAAGTCCCTAAGTTGAAGTCCCAGGTCACCCCTGCAACACATATACACACACACAGAGAAACTAAAACATAAAAGGGGAGGGGCTAAGTTGTGGCTCAAGAAGTAGTAGAGTGCCTGCCTAGCCAAAAGTACCAAGATCCTAACATTAGGGGAAACTGGACAAGAGGTCTAAAGATCTATAAGAGCTCTATAATAATTGGAGTACTAGAGGCTCATGTCTATAATCCTAGCCAATCAGAAGGCTGAGATCTGGAGGGTGGTGGTTCGAGGCCATCCAGGCAGGAAAGTCTCCCCCTCTAAAAATAACCAGCAAACAGAAGAACCAAAAGTATGGCTGAAGTGGTAGAGATCCAGCTGAGTAAATACTAGGTCCTACTACTAGCAAAACAACAAAAACAACAAAAACTAATATTTTTGTAACTTTTCTGCAGATGTGAAATTATTCCAAAATGAAGTTTAGAAATTTAGTTTGTAGCAATGTATATTCTGGAAGAATTACTAAAACATAAAAAGTAAGAACATACTAAAGAATATTCTGTTAATGGGAAAGAACTCATAAAGCAGATCAGTAATAAAACCATAAAGTGTAAATACTAACAAATTTTACTATTAAAAGTGTAATTTAGACTGGAAGTTATTAGAAACAAAGTTTAAAGGTGAATTATAGATTAAAAATACTTGGTTTATGACTAAATATTTAGTTTGTGATACTTCGTTTAAGACAATTTTGGAAACAAGGAAAGTGTGAATTCATTTGCTGTATCATTTGATAATTATTATGTGATTACTGTGTTCATGCAGGAGATTTATGGTTATAATTTGAGTCGCTGGAAGCTTGCCATAGTTTCTTTAGGAGTGATTTGCACTGGTGGGTTTCTCCTCCTGCTCCTCTACTGGATGCCAGAGTGGCGGGTGAAAGCGACCTGTATCAGAGCTGCAATTAAAGACTGTGAAGTGGTGCTGCTGAGGACTACTGTAAGTCCACGCATTTATTGAATATTCCAGGAGTAAAATAATGATTTTGCATGTGCTTTGTTCAAAGTAATATTTACTGGAACACAATTGCTAGGAGATAATGAAGAATCTTTGTCTAGTTAATATTTATAAAATATCTATTTGAAGTTAATTATTTTTTTCTTTTGGTTGGTGATGGGGCTTGAACTCATGGCCTGAGCGCACTATCCCTGAGCTTTTTTTTGCTCAAGGCTAGTGCCTTCCACTTTCAGCCATGGTGCCACTTCTGGTTTTCTGGTGATTAATTGGAGGTAAAAAGTCTCATGGATTTTCCTGCCTAGGCTGGCTTTGAACTGTGATCTTCAGATCTAAGCCTCCTGAGTACTGGGATTACAGTCATGAGTTTCCAGTGCCTAACTGAGGTGAAAATTTTTATAATGACTAGAATTTAAGGAAATCTTAAAAGATGATCAGGTTACTCACTTCCTTTTATAGCTCTTGATAACCCTTAGAGGTTGTTCTGAGTTCCTCTCTCTCACTCTCTTTCTTTTCCCCTCTCTTTTCCCTTGTGAAAATTGAAACCTGGACCCTGTACATGCTTGGTGGGAACTCTCTAACCCTTGAATACTGACCTAGCTTACCCTGAGAGATAAGACTTAACCTTTTAAGGTACTGGCACTTTAGGATTATAGCCCAGATCTCCATTGATTGGACTATGCCTCAGATAGACTAGCTGCCTATCTAATGTATGATGCTCCTATATCTCCGGAGGTTTTTTTTTTTTTTTTTTTTTTTAAATTAATTGGATTAGCATTTTATGAGAGGTTTTAATATGTAGTGTTCATATGTAGGTGGATCAATTAAGGAATTGTAATATTTAATGGAATAGGCTAGTATTTATTAAACTGGTGAAGTATAAAACTGGTGAGCAATGAAAGTATGTTTGAATTGATTCATCTTTTGAAGTTTAGTGAGTAGGAAATGAGGCTTTAAAAAAAAATCTATCAAGGATTTATTTTAGTACAACAGGATAAAGTAGTGAAAAAATAGAAAAAAAAAAAGGAACATTTCCTGTTCCTCATTGTAGGTAATGGGAGTTAAAGACTCCAAACGATGCTTTTTCAATAAGAGATGATTAAATATGTAAAGAATGGGAATTAAATGAAAATATAGGCAGTTTTGTAATCTGTGTGTATGTGTGTATGTATGTATATATATATATATATATATATATATATATATATATATAAAACTGATTCTTGACCTTTTTCTCGTTCTCCTAAGGATGAATTCAAAATGTGGTTTTGTGCAAAAATTCGCTTTCTTTCTCTGGAAAGTCACCCATTTGTTAATCCAAAATCTATAGCTAATAAGATTTCAAATGGCCATGCAGTCCATTTAACTGAGAATCCTACTGAAGATACTAGCCATGAAATGAATAAATATTCACAGACTCAGTCACAACAGGTATTGTGATCAGTGTCAAATTTTCTTTAAAACCAGTTAACACTTTATACTGTCATATAGCTTATAATTTTGTTTGTAGTTACTGCCTAAGATAACATTTTTATATGCATATAAAATATCACTAAGTGTAACAGTTTAGGTATTAATAGAAGAAACATTACATATTATAATAAGCAATGATAAGTTCTTTGTAACATTTTTGTATATTCTACAGATTCGTTATTTCACCCACCATAGTGTAAAATATTTCTGGAATGATACCATTCACAATTTTGATTTCTTAAAGTAAGTACCTTTCTTTTGCTTGTACCATATTATAAATGTACACTAAAAAGAGAATTTGTTCTAGTGTTATATAAAATTAAGGAAGTTTTTGTGTAACTGTATTCCCTGATAACTCACCAGTGTTATTTGAAGAGTTACGGGTTTTTGTTTTTTTTTAAAGGAAATTGTACCTAAATTTTACATAAAATTTAGAAATAATCCAGTTGTGTTATACTTCTAATCCCAGTACCTGGGAGGCTGAGGCATGGGATCTCAAGTTTGAAGCCACACGGGGAGGGATACATGGTGAAAGCCTTTAGCAGCACTGTGATAACAAAATCTTCCAAGACTAATTGCTTTATCATTTTTACTTCAAAGAGAATTTGAGTATATCTGTACCTTAAGATTTTGACATACATATTTGTGTGTGTGTGTGTGTGTGTGTGTCTGTGTGTGTTGTGGATCTTAAACTCAGGGTCTGTGTGTTGTCCCTTAGCTTTTCTGCTCAAGGCTAGTGCTTTACAACTTTGAGCCATCTTACTTGGACTTTCCTGCCTGCACTGGCTTCACCCTCAGCTCTCATCCTCCTGAGGAGCAAGAATTAAAGACAGAGCCACCAGCACTCATCTGACTTAGATGTGATGTTTTGTTTTGTTTTTGTCAGTTGTAGGGCTTGAACTCTGGGCCTGGATATTGTCCCTGAGCTCTTCAGCTTAAGGCAAGAACATTCTTCCACTTTAGCCACAGTGCCACTTCTGGTTTTCTGGTGGTTAATTGGAGATAAGAGTCTCATGTACATTCCTGTCCGGGCTGGCTTTGAACCATGATCCTCAGATCTCAGCCTCCTGAGTAGCTAGGATTACAGGCATGAGCTACCAGCACCTGGCAACACTTAGATATTTTTTATGGTGTGCTTGTGTTGGAGATCAAACTTAGGTATTGACTCAAGCATACTAATAAATAGGGACTGTACCACTGAGCCACACTTACAGCCCCTATGTTTTCGAGTATCTGAATCATGACTTCCTGATTTGTTAGCAGTCCCATTCAGTTTTGAGAAGTCAAGTCATAGAGAGTTAGAAACTTACTTTTAAACTGTTTAGCTAGAGTATAGGGCATAGGCAAACAGGTCATCTTTGGGTAGGACAAACAGGATTAATCTCTTAAAATTTATCTTTTGTGTGATGAGTTCATTATATAATTGCTGAATTTGTATGTTTTTCTTTAAAATATGGGATTTATACTGTCCCCACATTACTGGGCTTAGGCAGTCCTCTAGTGTTATCTTGCTGAGGATTTAGTGTTTTTTTTGTTCTTGTTCAAAGGATTATTATAAACATTCACATATCTTAAATCTAACAGAAGAATCAAGAATCATGAATATTAACATAAATTCCTAGATTTTTTCATCAGACACAAGAGCCGAAGCATTTTCACATACTGAATTCTAAAAATCTTGATTTAGAATCATTGCTTTAAATGAAATTGTAAATAAGCTGCCACTTTCCTAAAACATTAATATTGGAGCATGCTGGTTCTTGGTGCCTTCTGGAAAGGTTATCAATTTCAGTGGGGAAAATTTTTAAAATATATTTTTTATGTAATTTCTGTCAGTTATAGAATACTTACAAAGTTTCAACTTATCTCAGTGAAATCAATATATTATGGGACTTAGCTTTCCTATTTGGAAAAGGATTAGAATTAAGTACGTCTACTATTCTCTTTGCTTTGGAGTTGGTGTTTGGCTGGTATCTCCATTAAAATTTTAAGTATATTTAATATATTTTGGGAAAATAGATGTGTTAGTTGGATGCTAGTTAGAATTATGATAAGCCTTAGACATTGACTCTGACTTAAAATTGTGTCCTTTTAACCTAGGTATGCAACTAGCTAAGGAAAAGATTTATTTTGTTGCTTTTGTGGAGATGGAAGATGATGAATAGGATTTCTTTTAGGCTTAATATTGTAAAGGAGAACCTATGTTGATAAAACCTTTTTAATCTGTAGTTTAGAATTCTCAAATTACTTATATTTTTTACTTTAAATTTTATTAATTTAATTATTATCTCAGTTTTGGCAACTTGTTAAAGGAATATGTTACATTAAAGTTGAGTTGTCATCTTTTCATTTGATAAATGCAGTTGATAACTTGGTTGTTGTGTTTGAGATTTAGACTATTATTGTTTATCTTAAGAATTTGAGACTTTAAAGATTCTCGTCTGTTATTTCTACATTTTTGTTAAGGATTTTTAAGAAGTTTGGAAGGAGGTTCTAAAATCAGGCATGTAGAAAAATGAGGCATTAAGAAATTTGGATATTTGAAACTTTGTTTAAAGTAAAAACTTTGGATTTATTTAGGGGACTGGATGAAGGTGTTTCTTGTACGTCAATTTATGAAAAGCATAGTGCAGGACTGACAAAGGGGATGCATGCCTACAGGTAATTTTTATCCAACTAAAGTTAGACCTCTTCTCAAAATTCCTTTATTTAGGAGTATATATAGCCAATCCATTATTTTATACTATATATTAGCAGGTATTTAAAGATTATTGACTAGTAGTTGAGAACCGACTGCTATCTTATTTGAGTAAAACTCAGTTTAAGAGTTACAGAAAAAAAAAAAAAAAGAGTTACAGAAAGTTGGGCTGGGAAGGTGGCTCAGTGGTAGAGTGCTTGCCTTGCATGCATGAGGCCCTGAGTTCTATTCCTCAGCACCACATAAGCAGAAAAAGCTGGAAGTGGTGCTGTGGCTCAAGTGGTAGGGTGCTAGCCTTGAGCTGAAGAGCTGAGGGACAACGCCCTGGCCCAGAGTTCAGGCCCACGACTGGCAGAAAAAAAAAAAAAGAAAAAAAGGAAAAAGTTACAGAGAGTTAAAGCTTTGTTGAAGGTGATATTCTTGAAGTTATACCATATTTCATCAACTCTAAGGTGCAAAACTTCCTGCATTTTTGCTCTCTAAAATTGAGGTGTGTCATGTAGTTGGTAGGTACCATTCTTTGCTCAACAGAAGTTTTATGTTGATCATATATAAAATAGTGGAATGTTTTGTAAGTTGGTAGCATCTTAGATTTTCTGAAATACTGGGAATTGTAAGCATGAGCTCAGACTTACCACAAATTGGGAGCCATACTTTTTTTCATTGTGTTATTCTTCGTTAAAGCATAAAAGTATGCCAGTGTGTCTCAGTTTAAAGGTAAAAGTGATTTTCATATTATAATATTTTTTTCTGCACTGGTATTGGGGCTTTAACTCAAGACTGTGTATTTTTATTTGGCTAGCTTGATCATCCAGTGCCTTATTGCTTGAGTCATGACTCTAGTTTGGCTCAATTATAAATTTTCTATTACTACTATAGCATGTCCCCCTCCCCCCAAAAAGGGCTAGAATAAAAAATTCAGACTTAACTGTATAAAAGGCAAAAGTTACTATATCATATAGAAAGTCCAATTATAAGGAATTAAGTGGGAGGATTTAAGCAACCATTTCCTTTCCTCTTTTTCTTTTCTCTTTTTTCCCTCCCTTCCCCTCCCCTCCCCTCCCCTCCCCTCCCCTCCCCTCCCCTCATCTCTCTTCTCTTTTTTGGCAGAATTGGAGATAACCATAGGGCCTCAGTCCTAGGCAAGTGAGTCCCTGATGTTTTTTTAAAGTGTTGTTTTCTAAAATATACAGAATTTGAAATCAACACTGTTAGTACCAATATCCTTGTTAGAAAAATAGTACAGGATTCTCAGATTTATCTTTTGTAAAAAAAATTAATTGTTAAGACCTATTCAAGGATGGAGAAAAGAGTCTGTGCTAGCATGGTTTATTATTGACAAGTGAGAAAAACTCGATGAATGTAAAGACATGAGATAGTGAAATAAAATGCAAACCATGCAATTACTTAGTGTTGACTTCTCTGTTTAAATATTGTACACAAAATTTTTTTTGAGGTAGAGAATTTTAGTCATAGAACACAGGCTTTTAGAAACATGAATTTAAGAACAGTCTGTGGTTTGAGCTTTATCTAATACGATGCCTTTCTTAAATTACACTATTATATAATTCAACCTAACACTATTATTGTATTTTCCTGTTATAGAAAATTGCTTTATGGAATAAATGAGATTGCTGTGAAAGTGCCTTCTGTTTTTAAGCTTCTAATTAAAGAGGTAAGACTATTTTGTATGTATGTATGTGTATGTGTTTATAGATCAGCATTTGTAATGAGTAGATATATCAGTTTGGAAAGTCATAATTAAGTACTAAGGTGTTCTTGATTCTTTTATTTTTTATTGTGGGCTTGAATTTAGGGCCTGTGAGCTTCCCTTGAGCTCTTTTTTGTTCAAGGTTAGCACTCTATCACTTTGAGCCACAGCTCCACTTCCAGTTTTTGAGTGGTTAATTAGCAATAAGAGTCTCACAGAGACTTCTCTGCCTGAGCTGAGCTCGAACCTAGATCTTCAGATCTCAGCTTCCTGAGTAGCTGGGATTACAGACGTGAGCCACCAATGCCTAGCTGTACTTGGATTTCTGCTTCTTAACTTCTATTTGTTCTCCTTTCCTTAGAAGGCAAGAGAAAGGTGTTTTGTTTTTTTTTCCCCCTCATTTGTTTTCCTTACAAAGATTTCTTTTCCTTACAAGAAGTTGTGCATTTTGAACTTATTCTGTCTTACAGTTGCATATACTTGTCTTTATTTGTTTTATCAAGAATTGAATTTTGGGGCCGGGAAGGTGGCTCAGCGATAGAGTGCTTGCCTTCCCTGCATGAGGCCCTGTGTTTGATTCCTCAGCACCACATAAACAGAAAAGACTGAAAGTGATACTGTGGCTCAAGTGGTAGAGTACTAGTCTTGAGCTGAAGAGCTCAGGGATAATGCCCAGGCCTAGAGTTCAAGCCCCATGACTTATCAAAAAAACAAAACAAAACAAAAAAACCCAAAGAATTGATTTTTGTTTGATGGAATAGAACAAGGAGAAATAGAAATAGAAAATGTTTTTCTCTTAAGAATTTTTCCTACTATCTTTTCTTCACATTATGTATATCCTGGTACATTATTGCAAATTAAGCGTTTTCCTAGAAGTTTGAAAATGAACATGTAACATGATTTGTCCTTAAGGACTTGCACTGGGAGTTGGAGAGGAAACAAGTTGATAGTGAAGGTTCAATTATAAGGGTCATGGTGGCATGAATAAAGGTCTGTGAATGGAAATGTAAAGGAGGTTATAATTACTACTGTAAACTGCTTAGCAGAACAAAGCTTGTCAATCTTGGTTTTGTTTTTTGGTAAAGAGACTTAGTTGTATTGGATGACTAGCAATCTGGAAAACAGTCACTTGTCATTAGTTTTTTTTTTTTTATATAAGAACAATTTATTTTTTTTAATTTTTTTTTTGGGGGGGTCCGGTTGTGGGGCCTGAATTCTGGGCCTGGGCGCTGTCCTTCAGCTCAAGGCTAGCGCTCTACCACTTGAGCCACAGCACCACTTCTGGCTTTTTTCTTTTTGCTTATGTGGTGCTGAGGAATCGAACCCAGGGCCTCACGCATGCAAGCCAAGCGCTCTACCACTGAGCCACCTTCCCAGCCCCTTGTCATCAGTTTTTTACAGTATAATGTTGTCTACATAAATAGCATACTATAATGATAAGGAATGCAGAAAGCCTGATTTGTAATGTTGTCTCATCAGTAACCATATTATTTTTTGGTGGTACCAGGGTTCTTACATTTGGACAGCTTGCTTGCTTGGCTGGCACTCTGCCACTTGAGCCATGCTTCATCCTTGCTTTTGGCTGGTTATTTTGGAGAGAGAGTCTAGCAAACTTTTCTGCCTAGGCTGCACCTTAACTGTGATCTTTCAGATCCAAGCTGGGATCTGAGACACTGGGATTACAGGCCTGAGCCATCAACACCCACATCCATCTTTGGTATTTAGAAAACATTGTTTCTACTGACTTTAAAAACAAATTCAATTTTTTTATTATTATAAAGGTGATGTACAGAGGGGTTATAGTTACATGTCAGGTAATAAATACATTTTTTTTGTGACAATGTCATCCTTTCCCTTGTTCTCTCCCAGTTTTTCTTTCTTGTCCCTACCCATAAGTTATATAGTTTATTTTCAAAATAGTATCTAATTTGCTGACTTTTATCTAATATTATAGACAAATTCTTTGAGTGTCTCCTTTGGATTTGAGGTTATATATATGTGAAAATGCTTTGAGAAGTAATAATATCCATTTTAAGCCATTTGGAGGATATTAATGAAGTTGATAAAATACCACGAAACAGGGTAAAGTTACTGCTAGGGTTTTCTCATTTATTTTTTGTTGGTCGTGGGGCTTGAACTCAGGGCTCTCCTGAGCTCTTCTGCTCAAGGATAGCACTCTACCACTGTGAGCCACAGCTTCACTTCTAATTTTTTGGTGATTAATTGGAGATAAAAGTCTCATGAAGTTTCTTGCCTGGACTGTCTGGGAACCATGATCTTCAGATCTCAGCCTCCTGAGTAGCTAGAATTATAGGTGTGAGCCACCAGTGCCTGGCACATCTTTTTTTTTTTCCCTCTTCAGTCCTGGGCTTGAACTCAGGGCCTGGGCTCTGTCCCTGAGCTAGCACTTTACCACTTGAGCCACAGTGCCACTTCTGGATTTTTCTGAGTAGTGTCTTCGAGATAAGCGTCTCACAGACTTTGCTGTTGAGGCTGAGGGAGGCTTTAAACTGCGATCCTCAGATCTCAGTTTTCTAAGTAGCTAGGATTACAGGTTGAGCCACCGGTGCCTGGCTTTTTCAAAAACAAAACAATTTAACCCATTTTTATCTTTCCTCCAATTAAGGTTTTTTTGTTGTTTGTTTTTTTGTCAGTCATGGTATGGGGCCCGAACTCCTTCAGCTCTTCAGCTCAAGGCTAGTGCTCTACCACTTGAGCACTTGTGCCACTTCTGATTTTCTGGTTGTTAATTGGGGATAAGACTCTCACAGGGCTGGGAAGGTGGCTCAGTGGTAGAGCACTTGCCTTGCATGCATGAGGCCCTGGGTTCGATTCCTCAGCACCACATAAGCAGGAAAAAAAAAGCTGGAAGTGGCACTGTGGCTCAAGTGGTAGAGCACTAGCCTTGAGCTGAAGAGCTGAGGAACAGCGCCCAGGCCCAGAGTTCAGGCCCCACGACGGGACAAAAAAAAAAAAAGACTCACAAACTTTCCTGCCCAGACTGGCTTTGAACTGCCAGCCTCAGATCTCAGCCTCCTGAGTAGCTAGGATTAACGGGCTTGAGCGCCTGGCTAAGAAGGGTTTGTTTGTTTTTGCTTGTACTCGTCACTGTCCATTAGCTTTTTTGCTCAAGCCTGGCACTCTACCACCTGAGCCATAACTCCACTTTCTGTTTAGGAGTTTTATATTATTTACTGGATGAGAACAGAAGTAATTTGGAAACAAATGTACTTATTACAAAAGGGAATGCAGAACGGATAAGTTTAGTCTTTTCTATCTGAATCTGTGTTTAGTATGAATCTAAATTGATACAAATATTTAAGCTTATTTAACCAGATTTAGAATACTAGGGAGACTAAGGAGCTTATCTTTTGTTTCTGATTGGTAACTTCTCAAATGAATAGGTAGAATATGTACATGCTTGTAAATGTCTCAATTTAACTTTTTAAAATCTTGTTTTCTAGGTTCTCAATCCATTTTACATTTTTCAGCTGTTCAGTGTTATACTGTGGAGCACTGATGAATACTATTACTATGCTCTAGCCATTGTGATTATGTCTATAGTATCAATTATGAGCTCACTATATTCCATTAGAAAGGTAAGTCCAATTGATTATTGAACTCTATTTGCATGTTTTAGTAATGATGTTAGATGTGTAAACTAGTACTTGGTACAGAGTAATTATGAAATGTATTTATCTCAGTCGCATGAATATACATACCTTTTTCTGCATTTTTGGAAATTTAAAAAGTATTTTCACTAGCATATATTAGTTGTATACAGGAAGTTTCATTATAACATTTCCGTACATGAATATAATGTACCTTAGCAACCTTTTATATTAGTTTGATGAATTTGGGGCTTCATGCTTGTTAGGCAGCCACTAAGTTAATTTGTGCCCTTTTTTGCTTTAGTTATATTTCAGATAGGATCTTATATTTTTGCCCAAGGTTGACCTCAGATTGAGATCCTTCTTACCGATACTGCCTGTGTAACCTAGATTACATTATACCTGACTTATTAATCGACATAGAGGTTCTTGCTAATTTTTTTGCCTCCAGATGACATCCTAAGCAGGCATCACCATGCCTGGCCCTTTTTTTTTTTTTTTTTTTTGGTCAGTTGTGGGGCTTGGACTCATGGCCTGGGCCCTGTCCCTGAGCCTGTTTGTGTGTGCTCAAAGCTAGCGCTCTACCATTTGAGTCACAGCACCACTTCTCGTTTTTTGACTAGTTAGATCAGAGTCTTATGGAGGACTTTTCTGCCGAGGCTGGCTTTGAACTGCTATTTTCAGATGTCAGCCTCCAGAATAGCTAGGATTAAAGGTGTAAGCCATTGGCCCCTATATTTTTTTGTGCTGACCCTGGGGCTCGAACTCAGGGCCTGGGCACTGGGCCTGGGCAATGTCCCTTAGCTTTGATGCTTAATTGCTCTACCACTTAAGCCATACATAGCTCCTCTTCTGGCTTTTTGGTGGTTAATAGGAGATAAAAGTTTTAGACTTTCTTGCCAGCTTTGAACTACAGTCTTCAGCTCTTAGCCTCCTGAGTAGTAGGATTATAGGTGTGAGCCACTAGGGCCCAACTGTGGCTTTCTTCTCCCTCCCTCCCTCCCTCCTCCCTCCCTCCCTCCCCTCTTTTTCTCTCTTTCTCGCTCTTTCTCTCTCTTTCCTTCCTTCCTTCCTTCCTTCCTTCCTTCCTTCCTTCCTTCCTTCCTTCCTTCCTTCCTTCCTTCCTTCCTTCCTTCCTTCCTCTCTCTTTCTTTCTTTCATTCTTTCTCTCAATCTCTCGCTCTTTCTTTCTCAATTGTCTTTCTTCCTTCTTTTCTTTCTTTTCTCTCTTTCTTTCTTGTCAGTCATGGGTCTTGAACTCTTTTGCTCAAGGGTAGTGCTCTACCCTTTGAACCACAGCTCCACATCTGACTTTTGAGTGCCATAAGAATCTCATGGGACTTTCCTGCCCCGTCTGGCTTTGAGCCAAGATCTTCAGATCTCAGTTTCCTGAGTAGTTAGGATTACAGGCCTGAGCCACAGGCACCCTGCTTTTTTTTTTTTTTTTTTTTTTTTTTGAGTAAGAGGTAGACAAGTTTTTTAGAGTCAGAAGCTGGTTCCTCCCTCCCCCTTTCCAAGACTATCTCCTTACAGTGCTGCTTTTTTTTTTTTTAATAGACTGTATCTCACTGTGTAGGTCAATCTGATATTAAACTCAATTGTTTTCCCTTGGCTTCTTATTTTGTTTGAAGTGAATATTCAGTGAATATTCCTTGAACCTTTGATTTGACATTTTTTTTTTTAAAGGCAGAGTAATGTGCTTACATTAACACTCTTACATTAATGCACTCTTTTTAGCCACTTAGGAGATGATTTGAAGAATAAGTTCATGTGGATATTGGCTAATTTTAATTTCTTTTTCTTCTTTCAGCAATACATTATGTTGCATGACATGGTGGCAACTCACAGTACTGTGAGAGTTTCAGTTTGTAGAGTAAACGAAGGTAGGTACTTTAGGTGATAAATGAAAGATTAGTCATAAAAGCCCATTAAGCAGTGTATGCTTACATTTAGATTCTTGAGTTTGTAAGAAATCCACTCACTTATATAAACTTACATTCGTTAGCTGAGTGCTGATGGCTCATACCTGTAATCCTAGTTACTCAAGGCTGAGATCTGAGAATTGCAATTCAGAGCCACCCTAAGCAGGGAAGTCTGTGAGACTCATTTCTAATTAACCGTCAAAAATCCAGAAGTGGAGCTGTGCCTCAGGTAGTAGAGCATTAGACATGAGCAAAAAGCTCAAAGACGTGGGGCTGAGAAGCTGGCTCAGTGGTAGAGCGCTTGCCTTGCATGACTGAGGCCCTGGGTTCGATTCCTCAGCACCACATAAGCAAAAAGAAAAACGCTGTGGCTCAAGTGGTAGAGCACTTGCCTTGAGCTAAAGAACTGAAGGACAGTGCCCAGGCCCAGAGTTCAGGCCCCACGACCGGACCACCCCCCCCCCCCCCCCAAAAAAAAAAAAAAAAAAAAAAAAAAGCTCTAAGACAGCACCTAGGCCCTTAGGTCACGCCCCAGGATTGGCACCAAAAAAATTACATTTGTCTATAGTCTAGACTATAGGCACTATTCCAGGCTCTTGGAAGTCTCATTGAAAAGATGGGACAATGTATGATAAAAGGAAAAGAAAGGGAAGGAAAAAGCAAAGGGGGAAGCAAGGAGGAATGTATGTCTACTGAACCAAGTACACACTCTGAAAAACAGAAAGGGGTGTGTAGAAGAGGGCCTGTGAACATGGCTCAAGTAGTAGAATACCTAGTTAGCAAACCCCAGTACCACCATTAAATACATAAAATTAAATGAGTGATCTTCCCTTAGTGCCAAAGATTTGTTTCCCATTCTATTTAGGTATTCTGTCTACCTTTCGTTTTCCTCACTCCTCTTTTTTTTTTTTTTGGTCGGTTAAGGAGCTTGAACTCTGGGCCTGGGTGCTGTCCCTGAGCTCTTCAGCTCAAGGCTAGTGTTCTACCATTTGAGCCACAGTGCCACATCCAGTTTTCTGGTGGTTAATTGGAGATTAGTCTCATGGACTTTCCTACCTGGGCTGGTTTTGAACCCTGATCCTCAGATCTCAGCCTCCTGAGTAACTGGGATTATAGGCATGAGCCACCAGCGACCAGCTCCTCCTCACATTTAATACTGGTCTCAAGAGAGTGTAAACACAGGTGAATGAGGACAAAACTACTGTTTCATGGTTTCAGTCTGTAGGACAAGCATATGTTTTCCCTTTCTTAAAAAAAGTAAGTTACACCTGACTTAGATAATTGTAATTCCTGTGAACATCACCTTTATAATAACAAAAGAAAAAAACAATTTGCTAATTATGATAAAACTAATAATATTTAGAACATAGTAGATGTACTAGTCTTCAGTTTAAAAATGGAATTAATATACCTACTCTATACTGATAAGAACTTTTATTTTTTATTATTTTTTTAATTAAAAAAATTTTTTTGGGGGGGTCCGGTCGTGGGGCCTGAACTCTGGGCCTGGGCGCTGTCCCTCAGCTCTTCAGCTCAAAGCTAATGCTCTACCACTTGAGCCACAGCGCCACTTCCGGCTTTTTTTCTTTTCCCTTATGTGGTGCTGGGGAATCGAACCTAGGGCCTCATGCATGCAAGGCAAGCGCTCTACCACTGAGGCACCTTCCCAGCTCTGATAAGAACTTTTAAGTCTGACTTTTATGAAAACTTCAGTACCACTGAAAATTCTCCTTTTCAATGTACTAGAAAATAAAGTACCAATGATATACATTTAAGACGTAGAGGTAAGGGCAATACAAGCTGAATGATACGTCCGTCCTGGCATCCCTAATATTTTCAGCAGCAACAGAGCAGAAAGAGTAAGAGTACCAATCCTCCTCCAGTAAATGCAGCTAGTTGATTCAGATCCTCTCAATAAGGGTAGAAAGTAACCCAGAAGCACAGTGAAGGAAGAAAACACTTGGATGTAGTCTGGAGTCAAGAAAATACAGACTGACTTGTCATCTAAAGAAAAAAAGGGGGCTGGGAATGCCTACCATACAGGAAGCCCTGGGTTCAACTCTTTAGTACCATATAAACAGAAAAAGCCAGAAGTGGCCTGTGGCTCAAGTGGTAGAATGCTAGCCTTGGGCAAAAGAAGCTCAGGGACATTGCCCAGACCTGAGTTTAAGCCCCAGGGCTAGCATAACAAAACAAAAGAGCACAAAAAGTCAAACCTTTCTTTTCTTTGACAGAATCTTGCTATGCAGGCCAGACTAGTCTTAAACTCTAGATCCTCTTGCCTTAGCTTCCTGAGTGCTGGGCATTACAGATATATACCATCTCATTTTGAGCTGGGAAATTTATTTTAAAAAGAGTTTAGCTAATTTAAAATTTTAAGGAAATAAGTAGGTAATTCTAAAATGTTGAATTAATCTAATAAATTTAATTGTATTTAAATTAACATCTGAAAAGACTAAAGAATACTGAGAAGCTGTGAGATATTAGGGTTATAAGTAATGTCCGTGAGAAAAGAATACTATAAAAATGCAATAGAAAAGAAAATATGTTTTTTTCTATTTTCATGGGATTAGACAAATATGAGTTCATTTTGTTTTATCAAATTTATTTTTGTGTGTGTGGATTTACTGTGTTTGTTTTCCAAGATGATTGGTAGCTAAAATTGATGACTGTTCCACACCCATGTGTGCAGGCTTGGCAACATCTATACTCAGCATCCAATCAGAAAACAGACTAGCTGACATACCATATTTTGATAGTCTAACTCCCCATTTTGTCAATTTTCCAATTAGTGGCATTTTCATATTAATTCCATTATATTATTAAATATATAGAGAGATCAGGAGACCTTGGGATAGATGATTCATTTTTGTATTTTTTGTTTCAAGTTAAGGACTAGTCTAATTTTGCTTTCTTTAAATTCAGAAATAGAGGAGATTTTTTCTACAGACCTTGTGCCGGGAGATGTCATGGTTATTCCATTAAATGGGACAGTCATGCCTTGTGATGCAGTACTCATTAATGGTACTTGTATTGTCAATGAAAGCATGTTGACAGGTAAATAAACAACTATCAAATCAGTTGCTCATGATACTAGTATTAAGTATATACTGTCTTAACTTTTCAAAATTAACTTGCCTTTTATATCCTTTGTTCATGAATATGTTGATGAATATTGTACTAAATTACAATGCTAGTGTTGTCTACATGTCTTTGCCTTGCTCTGACTACTTTTCTGACATAAGGGAATGGTATATAGTTTGTTTGTTTATTTATTTTTGGGTCCGTCCTGGGGCCTGAACTCTGGGCCTGGGTATATAGTTTAATAAGAAGAAAGAAACCCTTTGCCTAAGATAAGAATGTAGCATGTGGGGGCTGGGAAGTTGGCTCAGTGGTAGAGCGCTTGCCTTGCATGCCTGAGGCTCTGGGTTCGATTCCTCAGCACCACATAAGCAGAAAAAAGCCGGAAGTGGTGCTATGGCTCAAGTGGTAGAGTGCTAGCCTTGAGCTGAAGAGCTGAGGGACAGCGCCTAGGCCCAGAGTTCAGGCCCCACGACCAGACCCCCCAAAAAAAGAATGTAGCATGAGGGCTGGGATGGTGGCTCAGTGGTAGAGCGTTTGCCTTGCATGCATGAGGCCCTGGGTTCGATTCCTCAGCACCACATAAGCAGAAAAAAAAAAAAAAAAGCTGGAAGTGTTGCTGTGGTTCAAGTGGTAGAGTGCTAGCCTTGAGCTGAAGAGCTAAGGGACAGCGCCCAGGCCCAGAGTTCAGGCCCCACAACTGGACCCTCCCCCCCCCCCCCCCCCCCCCCCAAAATAGCATGTTTGCTTTCTTATTTGTTGAGTGAGAAGAAAGGTTTTACATATTTTTTAAATTGGGAGAAATACATTTAAAATATTCTAAAATAAATGAACGACAAGAGAGTAAAGCAAGCTTTTGGGGCATAGTACCAGCAGGATTGGGGAAAAGTGAATATAATCAAAGTCTTTATATGACTGTATAAAGAGAAAAGTAATTGAGTTGAAATTGTTTTAAGAAGGGGGAGGAGGGATACTGATAGGTGTGGTGAGATTAATGGGGCTGCATTGTGTGCATGTATGAAAGAAAATGGCAACAATGAAACGTCCCCTCCTGTACAACTAATGTATGCTAATAAAAATCTTTCATTATTTTATTTTTTTAAATTATGGTTCAGTAGGACAAAGGAGTTTCATTTCAACATGTAAAAACTATTAAAGGAAAAATAGACTTCAGAGTGACTTTTTTCTTTTTTTTTGCTAGTCGTAGGGCCTGAACTCTGAGCCTGGGCACTGTCCCTCAGCTCTTCAGCTCAAGGCTAGCACTCTACCGCTTGAGCCACAGCAACACTTCCGGCTTTTTTTTTTTTCCTGCTTATGTGGTGCTGAGGAATAGAACCCAGGGCCTCATGCATGCAAGGCGAGTACTCTACCACTCAGCCATCTTCCCAGCCCTCAGACTGACTTTTCTAAGGAACGTCATAATCTGGAAGTAGATCTTTATTTTTTAAAATCATGTGACTTATTGTCATAGTCTGGTAAGAAAATGATTGCTGCATAATGGATTTTGAAACTGTTAAAAGAATCATCTTAAAACACATCCATATATCCTGCATATTAACTTTCTTTCATGCAAGAAATGTAAGTGCTGGGGCTGGGAAGGTGGCTGTGTGACAGTGCTGTCATACAATTCTTAGGAATAAGAGGATGGGTAATGAGGTTGTTGAATTACCCGATTTTCTTTGAAACTTCCACAATGTATTCATATCTAGATATAGACAAGATGTAGACTTCGAGTCACAAACCACTTTCTGTAGTTAAGACAACTTGATGTTTCTAGGTGAACCAGTTAGTAGGCAAAAAGTTTATTGATTATACTCTCCTACAGTATTGTTAACATTGAGAATATTTTATAATGCAATAATTTTTATGTGTGCTTGATATTGATTTATGCTTCGGTATAATTTTTTTTTAATAGGAGAGAGTGTTCCAGTGACAAAGACTAATTTGCCAAATCCTTCAGTGGATATAAAAGGAATGGGAGAGGAATTATACAGCCCAGAAACACATAAACGACACACTCTGTTTTGTGGGACGACTGTTATTCAGACCCGTTTTTACACTGGAGAACTTGTTAAAGCCATAGTAGTTAGGACAGGTAGAAGACATTTAATTCCTTGCATGTTTTATCATTTATGATACCCACTGGATTCTAGTTGGGTAATAATTCTCTCTTTTTAAATTTTCTTTTTCTTTTCTTTTTTGAAAGGATTTAGTACTTCCAAAGGACAACTGGTCCGCTCTATATTGTATCCTAAACCAACTGACTTTAAACTCTACAGAGATGCTTACTTATTTCTACTATGTCTTGTGGCAGTGGCTGGCATTGGGTTCATCTACACAATTGTCAATAGCATTTTAAATGAGGTATGTTATTAGGACTCGGGTAAGATTTGATCTTTATCACTTATGACTATTGAGAAATAGAAATGTGGCTATTGAGATAGGATCTAAATTTTTAAGCTAGCATGGTTAATTTAACTCAAATGAAACTAGTATTTATTATATTTAAAAGCACAAATATATTGGGAGGCTGAAGCAGGAAGTTTAAGATCAGCCTAAACTATACATAGCAAGACTATCAGTCAAAAAACCCCAAGAAAACAGTTTATGTTGTGCAGTATATATGTTAGTTGGGTGTAGAGTAAAATGGAAGAGAGGTTAGATAAGGGTAAATATGGAGAGCGCAGTGAAATTTGTTTGAACTTGTTTTGACAGGGAAGGGGAGAGAGTGATGGGTGAGGTTGATGGGAGTACATTGTATGCTTGTGTAGAGACATCATAATGAAAAGTCCTCCATATACTAATACCTAAAAAAAAAAAAAATATATATATATATATATATACATATATATAAGTAGAAGGTGGATACAAGTGGCTCATGCCTGTAATCCTTGCTCCTCAGAAGGCTTAGGTACAGAGGATTAAGGTTTGAAGCCATCCTGGACGGAAAAGTCCATGAGACTCCAAAATTATGAGCAATAAGCTAGGCCAGAAGCATGACTCCGGTGGTAGAGTACTAGCCAAGCAAGTGCAAGTCCAAGTACAAATCTTAGTTCAAACACCAGTACCAGGAAAAGAGTGTAAATATAGAATACTTGAACCCATAGTAAAAAATTCTCTTTTTTTTGGGGGGGGGGGGTCCAGTCATGGGCCTGAATTCTGGGCCTGGGTGCTGTCCCTCAGCTCTTCAGCTCAAGGCTAGCACTCTACCACTTGAGCCATAACGCCACTTCCGGCTTTTTTTTTTTTTTTCTTTCTGCTTATGTGGTGCTGAGGAATCAAACCCAGGGCCTCATGCATGCACGGCAAGTGCTCTACCACTAAGCTATCTTCCCAGCCCCAAATAATTCTTTTGGATAGCTTTGGTTTTTTAGGTGGTAGTTTTTCTTTTTGCGACCTAAAGGAGTAAAATCACATAATGTACCAAAAATTTTTTTTTTTTTTTTACAATTTCTGGGATAAAATATGTATCAATTAAATTAATTTTGAATATTTAATTGAAAACATCTCTAAGGGGCTGGGAAAGTGGCTCAGTGGTAGAGCGCTTGCCTTGCATGCATGAGGCCCTGGGTTCGATTCCTCAGACCACATAAGCAAAAAGAAAAAAGCCGGAAGTGGTGCTGTGGCTCAAGTGATAGAGCGCTAGCTTTGAGTTGAAGAGCTGAGGGACAGTGCCCAGGTCCAGAGTTCAGGCCCCACGACTGGACCGCCCCCCCCAAAAAAAAAAGTCTCATGGACTTTTAAAAAGGGGGGGGGCGCTGGGAAGGTGGCTCAGTGGTAGAGTGCTTGCCTTGCATGCATGAGGCCCTGGGTTCGATTCCTCAGCACCACATAAGCAGGGAAGAAAAAGGCCGGAAGTGGCACTGTGGCTTAAGTGGTAGAGCGCTTGAAAAGCTGAGGGACAGCGCTCAGGCCCCACTACTGGACCCAAAAAAAAAAAAGAAAGAAAGAAAAAGAAAACATCTCTAAAGGACATTTCAAAAGTGAAATCTCTAAAGGATTTCACTTTTGTACCTATGGGAGACTTATAGAAGAAGTGTTAGTATCCAGCCAAAGTTAGTTGCACTTGGTCTGAAGTTTGTATGTGAAGAACGTAGGGGAACTAGAATGAGAATAGCTTTCTTTAACTTTCAGAAGCTTCCTGTAACTTTGATTCTGCAATTTGTTTGACAATTTGTTGAGTTTTCTTTTTTGAGTCTGAGGCTAGGACTTGAACTCAATACCTGACACTTTCGTTCATTTGTTACTGCTCTACCAACTGAGCCACACCTCCAACCCCATAAGGGTTGGTTGTTTCTTTTTTCTTTTCTTTTTTTTAGTTCTCTATTTTAAAAAATTTCTGAAAGAAAAAAAAATGGAGATCATTAGTCTGTGTATGTAGAAATAACATGTTGATTGGTTTTCACTAAAGAAATAACCATATTCAATTGGTAAATAATGTAGAGGACTTGATATTTATTTTTGTGTCAATTATAGGTAGAAGTTGGAGAAATCATTATTGAATCTCTTGATATCATTACAATTACTGTACCACCTGCACTTCCTGCTGCCATGACTGCTGGTATTGTATATGCTCAAAGAAGACTGAAAAATGTTGGTATTTTCTGTATCAGTCCTCAAAGGATAAATATCTGTGGACAGCTGAATCTTGGGGTTTTTATGTGAACCAATTTATAAAACTCATTTTAAATGCTCTGATTTTCCTTTCTCAAACATTATATGCACCTTTTAAATTATTTTCTCAATTTTAAAAGCTTCTGAATATTACTTACTTGCTGAAATCTACAATTGACTAATTGCTTGTATCCAGAATTATGTTTTGTAGTAGTAACAAGTAAAGCAGGCATGGTGGCTCAGACCTGTAGTCCTAGCAGTTGGGAGGCTGAGTCAGGAAGATAGCTTGAGCCAACGAGTTTGAGGTCATCCTGGGCAACATAGCAAGACCCCCATCTCCAAAAAAATAAAAAAGGTTAAAATGTATAAGTAATAAAACTTAGTAGTAATAAGTACTAAAAGCTGTATGGTCTTTTGCCTAATTTTATGGAATAGGTTCCTTAGATAATGTGTTGACTATGCTTATAAGAATGTGTGTTTAGTGTTTGCTCTGTGATATTATTACTTGTTTCAAAACCATGGTCAGTGATTTTATGGTTTTATTAACCTTTATGAAATGGACCTTGCCTCATACAAGGGTTTATCCCTTCCTGAGATGAAATTAGGTTTTTCTAGAAGTTTTAAGAATAAGTCTTAACAATAGGCCTATCAAACTCTACTAGGTAACTGATAATTTGGTTTTTGAGCATTTTATTACTTAAAACATGAAAGACATATATTCTGTCAAGATTGTTTTATACATCTGTTTAGAATTTTTAATTTATTCTTTAGAAATTTTCTTTGGGGGAGGGTAGGCATGAATTTGGGACCTAGAGCCTCATGCACGCCAAGTAAATATTCTACTTTTGAGTTACAGCTCCAACTTAGAATCTTCTTTCTTGTTTTGTTTTCCAGCAAGGGTCTGTTATGTAGCTAGTTTGGCCCTGAATTTATAGTAAATCTTCTGTCTCAGCCTCCCAAGTTTGGGATTGCAGACATGTGCCACCACTCTAGAATCTTTCTTAGTATAAATTTGAAATAGACATACTAGTGGGGAAAAGATACAGATATAATCAAGTATAGTAAGTTCTTTACTCCTTACCCAGATTTAACAGTTATAGACATTTTTGTCAAACTTATCTCAATTTGTCCTCATTATAAAGGGGGCAGCATTAGTCATTGTGTTACACCTCTAGTTATCTGATAATGTTTTATGGAAGATAAGATGCTTTTTAAAAGAAATACAATACCTCTTAAATCACACTTGACAAAGTTAACTAATTAATAGAGTTATCTGATAACCAGTTCATATTCAGATTTTACTGCCTATCACAAATAGTATTTCAAGTTTTTATAATTTTGTTTTCCAGGTAGAATCCTGTAATTAATCTTTAACAATTTTCTTTCTTTGCTCTTCATCTTCAATCATTTTATTGAAGAAACTGAGTCCTTTACCTCTTTTTTTATGGACTCCCTATGACCTAATTCTGCTTGCTGTTATTTGCATTCTTTATTCATGGATAGATTTATTGATATACTTAATAATGAAAGTATATAAGTACATAATTATACTGATAAGATTCCTACATGGAGGAATGTGAGTACTGTTTTACACCGAGTTTTACATTTTAACCATATATCCTGGTTATTATTCTCTGGTCAGTGCCTGTAGATCTCAGCTGTTCCTATCTTTTCTTTCCTCTCAGACTCTTACGTGTATAAAGAATAGGTTTTTGTTGTTGCTGTCTTTTTTTTTTTTTTTTGGGTCCGGTAGTGGGGCCTGAACTCTGGGCCTGGGCACTGTCCCTCAGCTCTTCAGCTCAAGGCTAGTGCTCTACCATTGAGCCACAGTGCCACTTCCGGCTTTTTTCTTATGTGGTGCTGAGGAATCGAACCCAGGGCCTCGAGCATGCAAGCAAGTGCTCTACCACTGAGCCACCTTCCCAGCCTTGTTGCTGTCTTTCTAAAAAATATAGTTCATAATAATATATGTCTGTCTTTGGGCCTTGTTGCCTGTCTTTCTAAAAAATATAGTTCATAATAATATATGTCTGTCTTTGGATTTTTTTTCTTTTTAAAGGCATTATATTTACTTGTGCATGTATGTTTTTCAAATTTTAGACTGGAACTCTTACTGAAGATGGTTTAGATCTGTGGGGGATTCAACGAGTGGAAAATACCCGGTAAATATTAGCTAGGCTTTATATTTGATTAGTTAATTTTAAATATTTTAATGGATACCATTCAAACATACAAGTAGTAAATGTAAGAGATAACTGTGCGTCAACCACCAAGACTATAACTTGGATTTTTTTTTTTGCCATATTCAGGTCTCCCTTCCCTTCCCTTCCCTTCCCTTCCCTTCCCTTCCCTTCCCTTCCCTTCCCTTCCCTTCCCTTCCCTTCCCTTCCCTTCCCTTCCCTTCCCTTCCCTTCCCTCCCCTCCCCTCCCCTCCCCTCCCCTCCCCTCCCCTCCCCTCCCCTCCCCTCCCCTCCCCTCCCCTCCCCTCCCCTCCCCTCCCCTCCCCTCCCCTCCCCTCCCCTCCCCTCCCCTCCCCTCCCCTCCCCTCCCCTCCCCTCCCCTCCCCTCCCCTCCCCTCCCCTCCCCTCCCCTCCCCTCCCCTCCCCTCCCCTCCCCTCCCCTCCCCTCCCCTCCCCTCCCCTCCCCTCCCCTCCCCTCCCCTCCCCTCCCCTCCCTGGACCTTGAACTCTGGGCCTGGGTGCTATCCCTAATCTTTTATGCTCAGTTTCTGATTCTGGCTTTTGGGTGGTTGTTTAATAATACAGATCCATAGATATATACACATATATACATATATATACATATATATACGTATATATACATATATATATACATATATATATGTATATATATAATATACACACACACAAATTGGTTTCCAATTGGTTGTGGGGCTTGAACTAACTGGAGGCCTGCAAACTGTCCCTGAGCTTTTGTGCTCAAAGCTACTGCTCCCACTTTGAGCCACAGCTCCACTTCCAGTTTTCTGTTGGTTAATTGGAGATAAGAGTCTCATGGACTTTCTTGCCCAGGCTGACTTTGAACTGTAATCCTGAGATCTCAGCCTCTTGAGTAGCTAGGATTACAGGCATAAGCCCGGCTCAAGATTTTTCTTTAAAACTTCTTTGTGGCTGCTTTGGGGGTAGGTATTGATTTTCTTTTCTTTTTATTTTTTTTGTCCGGTCGTGGGGCCTGAACTCTGCGCCTGGGCGCTGTCCCTCAGCTCTTCATTCAGCTCAAGGCTAGCGCTCTACCACTTGAGCCACAGCGCCACTTCTGGCTTTTTTCTTTTTGCTTATGTGGTGCTGAGGAATGGAACCCAGGGCCTCAGGCATGCAAGGCAAGCGCTCTACCACTGAACCACCTTCCCAGCCCCCAAACAATTATTTTTGTAATTTGAAGATTTCTAGATCATGTAGTAGCATGTTCTTGAACTACCATTCTATTAGGTAGAACATAATAGTTCAGAGGTTAGATATAGATATTGGACCTCCTGCATTTTCATCCTTTCTCTGTTTCTCATGGGTTGTGTAGCCTACAACAGCTATTCAGCACTCTGCTTCAGTTACCTCACCTGTAGTGGGAATAATAAAATGCCTTTCTGTAGTGTGAAGATGAAATGAGTCAGTGTATGTAAGATTCTTACAAGGGTGCTTGGTACATAGTTATTAACATTATATAGTTGTTACTTCTCTTGTATTTTGGGTATAAAAGAGCCAAGCATATTCTTAATCTTTTAGATCCTTGGGTAAACTTTTTCTAGTGTACTCACTTCCTTCTTGTGTAAGAGGAATTCTGTACTGCTAGTTCCACATTGGTCTGCTCCAAGGTAGAATGAAAGACCTACGTCCTTGTGGCATGCAGATGGGGTTTTCCCATCTTCCCCAGTGACCATGGTCTAAGCTAAAACTCAGACCTCTATTTTCCTTTTCTTCTGTTTTTGGCACTTGAGATTTTCCCTTAAGGAGCTCAGTTTCGGGCTTAAAAGATTTTTTGGTTTTATTTTTTCAAGGTAGGCTCCCACTTGATTTTCTAGGCTGACATCAAATATATGATCTGGGATTATACACATACATCCCTGCCCGCAAGCTTGAAAGATCTTTTTGAAATTTCAAAATCTGAAAACGATGTGTTAGAATATTGTCCTGAAACTGAAGACTTATAAACCTAATTTGTTTTCTATTTAGATTTCTTTTGCCAGAAGAGAATGTTTGTAATGAGTTGTTGGTAAAATCTCAATTTGTTGCTTGTATGGCTACTTGTCATTCACTCACAAAAATTGAAGGAGTGCTTTCTGGTGACCCACTTGATTTGAAAATGTTTGAAGCCATTGGATGGGTAAGTATAGTACTTTAAAGTATAAGTAACTCTCAGAAAGTGCAGTACAAATTAAATTGTCTCTTAGAATTATTACTGTTAATATTGATGAATATTTTGTAACCATAAGACCTAATTTCTAATGTTACATCACTGAAGAAATTTTATAATTATATAGATAGTAAAGGTCTTAGTTGAATCAACTTTTAAATACATGTAGTGTAAAGTATGACCAGTCTGAATTTATAAGATAAACCAGGCAGGCTGGGAAGGTTGCTCAGTGGTAGAGCGCTTGCCTTGCATGCATGAGGCTCTACTCTGGGTTCGATTCCTCAGCACCACATAAGCAAAAAGAAAAAAGCCAGAAGTGGAACTGTGGCTCAAGTGGTAGAATGCTAGCCTTTAGCTGAAGAGCTGAGGGACAGTGCCCAGGCCTAGAGTTCAGGCCCCAGTACCGGCCCCCCCCTGCCCCCCCCCCCAAAAAAAAAAGATAAACCAGGCATCTACAACATGAAACAATAAGGTACAAATCAGATGGATGACCTTACTCTTCTGTCTACTTCCTATTACATGCAAATACACACTATTTTATTTTCTTTCCTCTGGTTATTTTAATTTTTAAATACTAATGTCCAGCATTCAGTTATTCTATAGATCCAGCAATAATTCTTTTTTTTTTTTTTTTCCATGACAGTACTGGGCTTGATTTCCGAACTTTAGCTCTCACTTTGCTTTTTTGCTCAAGTCTGTTGCTCTACCACTTGAGCCACAGCTTCACTTCTGCTTTTTTCAGTCTCATTGGAGATTAGAGTTTCAGCTTTGTTTGCTCTGGCTGACTTCAGACTAGAGCCTCAGATCCTCAACCTCCTGCAACAATAATTTTTAAAGTTCCCCTCTGGCTTCTAGAGTACACATAAAAATTTTCACTGAAGACATTTTTTCCCTCCTAATCTCCTTCCTGCTTTTGTACCACCCACATCTGGGTGGTACTTACCTATTCAGATATGACTGTCTCATTTAATAATTTTGGGTAACTGCAGTGAGAATTTTGTGCTTACCCATATTTGTATAATAGTCTATTTTCTGTCTGCATTTGGGAAAAATATCTAGGGCCTTTGTGTGTTATCAAGACTGGGATCCTGTCAATAGCAATTCTTTAGTTTCAGAGGAATAGCTGTAGAGATAGATACTTTACTCACCTGTTACCACACTTGCTCAATCAAAGCTTTTGTTCTGAAATGCCACTCTTTATATGGGTTAGTCATATCTCTGGGGATTCCCCAGCCTTTGGTTTGAGTTGGTTAGCACATCTATACTGTTTAATAATCTCTTTTTTTTAGAAAAAAAAAAAAAAAAAAAAGCCAGAAGTGGCGCTGTGGCTCAAGTGGTAGAGCGCTAGCCTTGAGCTGAAGAGCTGAGGGACAGCGCCCAGTCCCAAAGTTCAGGCTCCCACAACCGGACCAAAAAAAATAAAAAATCTTTTTTTGGAACAGTTTCCTTTATCATATTAATTAGTCAATATGTTTCGATTTGTTCTTTGTTTTTATATTTGAAACCATCCTTTTTTTGTTGCTGTTTTTGATGTTTTGCTAGTTTGTTTCAGTAGATTTAGTATTTGGTGTTTGACCTTTTTTTTTAAATTTTTTTTTTTGCTAGTCCTGGGGCTTGAACTCAGGGCCTAGGCGCACTGTCTCTGAGCTTCTTTTGCTCAAAGCTAACACTCCACCAGTCAAGCCACAGCACCACTTCCAGCTTTTTCTGTATATGTGGCACCTAGGAATCCACCCCAAGGCTTTATGCTTTAGCCAAGTGCTCTCCCACTGAGCTACCTTCCCAGCCCTAGTGTTTGACTTTTTAAAAGCATTGATACAGTATTTTTTTTTTGGTCGGTTGTGGGGTTTGAACTCTAGGTCTGGGTGCTGTCCCTCAGCTCTTCAGATCAAGGCTAGCACTAACACTTGACCCACAGCACCACTTTTGGTTTTCTGGTGGTTAATTGGAGATAAGAGTCTCACGGACTTTCTTGCCTGGGCTGGCCTTGCGCCTTGATCCTGAGATCTCAGTCTCCTGAGTAGCTAGGATTACAGGCATGAGCCACTTGCACCCAGCTGTTTTATTTTTTTGTCACCTTTGCAGTAGTGTAGTTTGAACTCAAAATCTTCTTAGTTGGAAGGATCTCTACTACTTGAGTCACACTTCCAGCCATACTTCTTACCTGGTTATTTTCTCAAGTGTAAGAAAATTTTCTATCCAAGCTGGCTTCTTCAAGTTCTAAACCTCCTGAGTAGCCAGGATTATAGGCATATGGCTCATGCCAGACACCTAGCTACCTAGCTAGCTCCTGAAAAGAGTCCTCATATTTATATTAGTTAGGTTAGTGGTGGCGGATAGCTTTTTGTCAGTTCACTGAAAAAAGCCATGATGTTCCTTTTGATTGTTTTATTTTCAGATTCTGGAAGAAGCAACTGAAGAAGAAACAGCACTTCATAATCGAATTATGCCCACTGTGGTTCGTCCTCCCAAACAGCTGCTTCCTGAATCTACACCTGGAGGAAACCAAGAAATGGTACAGAATCACTTAGGGTTGGAAAAATACTGTTGATGGTTTCTTACATTTAATTCTTATATGGACACGTTGCTCAAAGAGGAATCAAATACCTTTTACTATTCTGCAGGCTTAAATATCTTAATTGTATTTATCTGCAACTCTCTTAGATTATATTACATAGATTTCTTTTTAAAGTTGAGATTTAATCTTTATGCCATTACTTTTTTATTTACTTCACATGATTAGTACCTTATGATTTATATACATAATGGTCAGTCTTTTTAAATTTGTTAGAATTTCATTAAAAGAATGTATAAGACTTTTGTAAGTTTTTAAGTCAAATTTCCATTTTATTTAATTCTGTTTATTAAAAGTGAGCCTTAACTGTATAGACCAGGCTAGTCCTTTTGATTCTTCTTCTTTAGCCTCCTGAGTGCTGGCATTATGAGTATGAGCTACCACATTTAACTTTAGGAGTTTTGTTTTTTTTTTTCTTTTTTAGATTCTTGTTTAGCCAGCTGCCCCATTGGTGTATACCATAATAATAGCTACTCAAGAGGCTGTGATCTGGAGGATCTCAATTCAAAGTCAACCTGGGTAGAAAAAGTTTCAAGATTCCAGCTCTAACTAACCAGCAAAAAGTACAGCTGGATATGTGGCTTAAGTGAAAGAACACAGCTAGGTGCAAGAAAGTCAAGTTAGAGCACATGACTCTTGAGTTCAATCCATAATACAATCACAGATTAATTAATTTCAGTATGCTAGCATATTTGAAAATATTCAAGAACTCAGTATTTTCCTAAGGATTGAACCATAGCAGCGCTCTACCACAGAGCTAGTCCTGAGAACCTATCTTTCTAATGGAAGATGGTATATAAGGAATTTTAAATCCTGACTTTGAAATAATTAAAAGTTCCTTCCTATTTTTGAAATGTTTAAATTTTTGAATGTTTAAATTTTTTTAAACGAGTATATTGATGGACTTAATCTGTGCTTTTTTGTTTTTTAGGAGCTGTTTGAACTTCCAGTAAGTTAAAAAGAATATTTTATTATATAGTAGTACATTTGTTTTCATTTTTAAAGAACAATAAGTGCTTTGTGCATCTTTTGAAATTATGTAGGCTATTTATGAGATAGGAATCGTTCGTCAGTTCCCATTTTCTTCTGCTTTACAACGTATGAGTGTGGTTGCAAGAGTACTAGGGGATAAGAAAATGGATGCCTATATGAAAGGAGCCCCTGAGGTCATTGCCAGCCTTTGTAAACCTGAAACAGGTAAGAAAACAACTAGGCTTTGTGTAAAAATTCTGATATTTGTATGAGCAATTTTAAAATGAAATTTACTTTTTCTCTTACCAAGTTCCAGTTGAGTTTGAGGAAGTTTTAGAAGATTACACTAAACAAGGCTTCCGTGTGATTGCTCTTGCACACAGAAAATTGGAATCAAAACTAACATGGCATAAAGTACAGAATATTAGCAGGTATGGGAGAATGGCTTTGCTTCCGTTTTTTTCAACAATGTATCATTTAAGTCCTGCACAATAAGTGCATGTGATTGGATATTTATTAAATACTGAGATTGGCAAATATTTGTATAATGTAACATTGTTCTAGAGGATTGAGGTAAAAATATTTTCCCGTTATCGAGTTTAATTTTATTCTGTTTTTACCTTTTGCCTGTGTTTGCTTATGTTATTGTAGTATTATTTATTTTTCCTGACTACACATTGAAACTGCTTTTAGTTTGTTAAATATTTATCTAGAGCTTACTGTGTATCAGATATGTTCTTAGAAAAGTAAACAATTCCGCAGTTTCTCTCACATCATGTTGCCCTTATCAGTAGTTTGATCCAAATACTAATTTGATCACTATCATGAGTGCCTATGGTATAATAGTACCCAGTATTCTCTCCCTCTATCCCTTGCCATTTATCCCCTGCCAAATGAAAATATGGATGTTACCTTTCTTCTCATGTGTAAATATATTCAAGGATTGTAACTTTTACTGTAACTAATTTATACCTACTCTTTGAGGAGAGTGTTTTTGATTAGGAATATTGTATACTATCTCTAATAAAAGTATAAAATATCCCTTGTCTCACTAACAGTACTGCCTATAGAATTCTAAAAACCTCTACCTAGTTAACTGATATAGACACCTAGTTAGGAACCATAGGTATGCAATACCATTTCCTACAAAGGGTACACATTAGTCTCTTCTCTTTATAGCTTCATGTTTTGCCATTTTCCCTTAGAGACCGTTGAACAACACTGCTTGTAATTCTTGACCTGTCATACTCAGACAACCTTCTGTGCCCTTGAATAAGTTGTTCCTTCTGCCCAAAGCAAATGCTCTTTTCCTATGACCTTTCTATTCTCTTTCTTCCTCTTCTTTCAACTACCAAGTCCTTTTCTGTTTCTACCTTGTAGGAGTAAATTTTAGTATTATCTTGTAGCTTAAACCTTTATATCTTGAATATTGTACACTTCATAATTTAGAAAGAAACAAATGGAAGCTAGAAACCAGAGTCCCATAGAAATATGGTCCAGTGCTCTTGACCTAGAAGTTTCACATTGATACAAGTTTGTGCTGTGAAGACAGTTTCATATTTGAGGGTTTTTCTTCTGTCATCAGGATTGTACTTTTAAAACTCTTTATAATACATTGTTGTAAGTTACATATTTTAAAGATTTTAGGTCTCATGTACAAGCACTTTTATTGTTGAATATTTATGTAGATCAATCACTTAGTTATTCTGTCTCCCAGTTCTAGTTCCTAACTTCAGGCTTCCTTTCCAAAATTAAAAAAAATTCTATGGTATAATTTTGGCAGCTTAATATTTCTTAAGGTTATGATTCACTGAACCGACTTCATCTCCATTGTAGTGGTGAAGTACACAGTATTTTTACATGCATCTCTTTTATCACAGGTCTGTTTCCTCACAAGAACCTTGAAAGTAGACTTCCTGGAGTAGTGTATATACACAGGCTGGTGCATCTTGATAAATATATTGATTGTTAGTATTCTAAGCAAACATCTCTGGGTCCTGAATAGATCTGATTGTTATACTGTTAATGGCATTGATCAAGACTTGATAATGAATCCATTATAAGTATTTAATACTTAAATTGGGGTATATTTTATGAAGGATAGTAAAGAACAGATTTATGCTTAGGATTTTTTTTTTTACATAGACTGTAAAATGAATATTCCTTAGTGCTTAAATTGTTTAATGTTTTACATACAGTTTAAAATTGTTTAGTGTTTTACATGTTTCCAAATGGTCTTTGTATTTTGTGTTTCAAAGAGCAGAGTTTTAGTATATCAAAAATACATTTCTTGGTATTATTTTTCCAAATTTAAATTTTTGGGGATACTGAACTTGTAAATGCATACATGGTTGATTCAGCATAACAAATGTTTCACTTTTTAATTTAATTTAAAATGTTTTGTCAATATTAAGGGAACAATACCTGTTCTCTAGACTAAACCATTATGTGTTAAAACTTTTTTTTCTGCAGAGATACCATTGAAAACAACATGGATTTTATGGGATTAATTATAATGCAGAACAAATTAAAGCAAGAAACCCCTGCAGTACTTGAAGATTTGCATAAAGCCAACATTCGCACTGTCATGGTCACAGGTTAGATTATAAAAGAACACAGAAAAAAAATGAGCATGACTATAGAATTCAAGTTACATAATATTGAGAGAATGATCAGTTAGTTGCAGAACAATAGCTCCATCTCACATCCTGTTCACACATAAGTATTTTCCCAAAGTATCAGATAATCTTGCAGTATTCTTTTTGAGGTTTAACAAATTGTATTTATAAAAACTATAGTAAAATAGTTAAAGAAACAGTATAAAAAGTTTAATTTGGTGCTCCTTTCTCTTAATCTTTTTAATCATTCCCTTCCTTTCCTTTGTTTTTCGTTAGTATTGGGGCTTGAACTTTTGCTTTTTGCTGGTTAGAGGTTAGAGTTTCACAGATATGTCTTCAAACTGCAATTCTCATATTTCAGCCTCCTGAGTAGCTAGGATTATAGGCGTGAGCCATTGGCAACGGCTTTAATCATTTAGTTCTTAAAAGCACTTGGTATACCTTGCCTTGTGTTAAATACTTACAATGTTTTCTCTGCTAGAATACAAAATTTGAGGATTAAGAGCATGTTTTACTCATTTTAGAGTCACTTGTAACTTTTTAGAATTGATAGGTATATAGACTAGATTACTGAAAGTTAGAGAGAGAGAGAGAGAGAGAGAGAGAGAGAGAGAGAGAGTATTCTTAGTTTGAGTTACTAATGAAAATAACCTTTTGGGAGGAGGGGAGTTTTTATTTGTTGTTGGTCATGGAGCTTGAAGGCTTTAGGCGTTGTCCCTGAGCTTTCATTATGTTCTACCACTTTGAGCCACAGTTCTACTTCTGGTTTGGGGATGGTTTATTGGAGGTAAGAGTCTCAAGAACTTTTTTGCCTGGGCTGGCTTTGAACTGCAATCCTCAGATTTTAGCCTCTTGAGTAGATAGGATTACAGGCGTGAGCCACTAGTGCCCAACTAGTACATCTGAATGATTCCCCTTGGTGTTTTTATTTTGTTAATATTAGATAATCCTGATAGGGTTTTTTGTTGTTATTTTGTCTGTTTTTGTCAATTGTGGGGCTTGAACTCTAGGCTAGGCTCTGTCCCTGAGCTCTTCAGCTCAAGGCAAGCACTCTTATCACTGGAGCCACAGTGCCACTTCTGGTTTTCGGGTGGTTAATTGGAGATAAGAATCTGGACATTCCTGCCTGGTCTGGCTTTGAATTTCAGTCCTCAGATCTTAGCTTCCTGAGTAGCTAGTATTATAGGCTTGAGCCACCGGTACCTGGCTTCCTATAGTTTTAAGTTATTCCCTTAATTGTATTTATGTATTATATACTTATGAGAATAACCGGCATACATATATTTTTGTGTTAGACTCTGAGATTTATCTAATAGCATACTTATTACTAGTTATCTCAAAGTCACAAATGTATTACCATTAGAAACTCTTCTGTATCCTTCTTTAGGTACTTTGCATCTCTATTTCCTCTTTTTTCTCTTTTGCTGCGACAACATGACAATCTCATGGGTCACAGGAAAATGCATTGGGGAGAGAGAATATGGAAAATAGTGAAAGAAATTTCTACCTCTCTTTGCCTATTTCTGTTGTTTCTGATCAGTTCTTTCCTTCTCTTGATTGAGAAGTTGTCTCACATTTCTGATTACATCTGTTCCTAATTATCTTAACTTTTACTTTGTGTGTAGTCTTGCTTTTGTGATTCATCCTTTCCTGTGGTACTCTGCTAGTGTTTCTTTTCTTATACAGACTACCAGTTTACTCACTCCTAAGTTATTTCAGCAAATGTTTATAGGTCTATATGTCTCAATGTGCCATTTGTTATGAATCACATGTCTGAAAATTACTGTTTAAAAGTTGTGCTTATGAGCCAAGTGTGATAGCACACTTCTGTAATCTCAGCACTTGGGAAGCCAGATAGATATATCATAAATTCAAGGCCAGCATCAGATACATGGTGTATTCAAGACCAATTTGCACTACAAAGTAAAACCTTTCCTTAAAAAAAGAACAAGAATGAAAGGTTGAGCTGGGAAAGTGGCTCAATGGTAGAGCGCTTGCCTTGCAGCCTGAGGCTCTGGGTTCGATTCCTCAGCACCACATAAGCAAAAAAGAAAAAAGCTGGAAGTGGGGCTGTGGCTCAAGTGGTAGAGTGCTAGCCTTGAGCTGAAGAGCTAAGGGACAGCACCCAGGCCCAGAGTTCAGGCCCCACAACTGGACCTCCCCCCTCCCAAAAACAAAACAAAACAAATGGTTAAGGGCTTAAATGTTCTGATTATTTAGCATATGTGCTTACATTATTTGAGGCTTCCTTTTTAACAAGTATGCCTTAATTGATTCATTATTTTAAAACTCAAGGGTAAAGGTTATATTCTATCTTTATTATGTCCAGCATATTCATATGAACTAGACTAGATTTTCAGTAAATACTGGTTTATTTCCATTTTGATTTTAGTATCTAAAATATTTTGAAAATTAGGTGACAACATGTTGACTGCTGTCTCTGTGGCTAGAGACTGTGGAATGATTCTACCTCAGGATAAAGTTATTATTGCTGAAGCATTACCTCCAAAGGATGGGAAGGTTGCTAAGATAAATTGGCATTATGCGGACTCCCTAACACAGTGCAGTAATTCAACAGCAGTTGGCTCAGAGGTAATGTTAAGATTCATTTTCTTTTTTGGAAGTTTGCTTATTTGAGTTTCAGTGTGGATTAAAAAAAATAATAAAGCCCTAAAAGTGGTACATTAAAACAGTGAAACAGAAACTAATGGCAAACAGAATTGTGGACTGTCTCCCCAGAAAGATTGATTTCATTAGGACTTGGTGGACTCAAAAAATCTCTTTAAATTTTGAGAGCTATCTGGGTGCCAGTGACTCACACCCAAAATCCTAGCTACTCAGGAAGCTGAGATCTGAGGTTCAGGGCTCTAAGCTAACCCCTCAGAAATCCAGAAGTGGCGCTATGGCTCAAGTGGTAGAGTACTAGACTTGAGCTGAAGAGCTGAGGGACAGCACCCAGGCCCAGAGTGTAAGCCCCACAACTGACAGAAAAAAAAAAATTGAGAGGCTTGTTTTTTTTGTTGTTGTTGTTTGTTTTACTTTGATTTTTGTTTTTCGTGTGTGTGTGTGTGTGTGTGTGTGTGTGTGTGTGTGTGTGTGTGTGCGTGCGTGCGTGCGTGTGTGTGCGTGCGTGTGTGTGCGCGTGCGCGCGCGCGCACACTGTAGTCTGACTTCAGGGGCATACATTTGCTAGGCTTTTCTCTATTCATGAGTCATGCCCCCAATCTTGAGATCCATAGTTTTTTTGTTTTTCATTTTGCTGGTTGTGGGGCCTAAACTCCGAGCCTGGGCGCTATCCCTCAGATCTTCAGCTCAAGGCTAGCGCTCTACCACTTCAGCCACAGTGCCGCTTCTGGCCTTTTCTGCTTATTTGGTGCTGAGGAATTGAATCCATGGCCTTATGCATGCAAGGCAAGCACTCTACCATTGAGCCACCTTCCCAGCCCTGGTCCATAATGTTAAAGTAGAAGAATCCCAAATATCCCATTTTTTCAAGTTATAAATAGTGTTCAGTTCATGGAGTATTTCAAATTAAAGCTGATATTTAATTTTTCTTAACTAGTTTTTCAACAAACCTTACAGGTAACCTCAAAATAATTACCCTTTTTAAAAAAAATAAATATCAAGCTTTTACTGCTTTGTAGAAAATAAACAGTATTAAATGATACAGTTCCATTTGGGAACAAATATACTTAACATAGGATTGTTTTACTTGGCTTGAGTACCTAAATATTATTGTGAATGTCACACACAGGATATTCCAATTAAATTGGTCCATGATAGCTTAGAAGATCTTCAGATTACTCCTTATCATTTTGCAATGAATGGAAAATCATTTTCAGTGATACTGGAGCATTTTCAAGACCTTGTTCCTAAAGTAAGTGATATAAATTTATAAATATATTCATGATATGTTGAGAATAATATGTATTTTTTTTGGGGGGGGTGCTGTTCTTGGAGCTTGAACTTAGGATTTATGTGCAGTCTCAGAGCTTTTTTGCTCAAGGCTAGTACTCTGCTACTTGAGCTACAGCTTCACTTCTGGCTTTTTGATAATTAATTAGAGATAAGAACCTCATGAACTTTTCTGCCCATGCTGCCTTTGAACCATGATCCTCAGATATCAGCCTCCTGAGTAGCTAGGATTATAGGCGTGAGCCTCTGGCACTTGGTGAGGATACAGTTTTTTCTTTTTCCATTTTCCTTTTCTTTTTTCATACTGGGGATTGAACCTAGGATGTTGCACTTGATTAGGCAAACACTTTGCCACTAGGAATACAATTTTTAAAGGACTTTTTTTTTCCTAGTTGATGTTGCATGGTACCGTGTTTGCTCGTATGGCACCTGATCAGAAGACACAGCTGGTAGAAGCATTGCAAAATGTAGAGTAAGTATTGATGGCTTTGTGTTTTTGTTTTTCTATTATAATTTCATTTTCAGATGAGAGATGGCCAACCTGTGTGCATATGAATGTGCTTATGTATGTACATATGAACTTCCAGTGCTGCTTTTCATGTGCTCATTTATTTAGCTAAAGTGCAAAAAAAAAAAAATTCTTTTTTTTTTATTGTGAGAATACTGTACAGAGGAGTTACAATTACATGGGCAAGAAAATGAGTACATTCTTATCAAGCATTGTTGCCTCCTCTTTGTTTCCCCTTCCCATCCCTTCCCATACTCCCAACCTCCACCTGATCCTCCTCCCACCCCCACTCCCCACCCCCCACCAAAGTTGTAAAGTTTGTTTTTCGACATAACGACTTGTACATCTCATTGTTGCAATGGGTCCACCTGTATCCCTAGTTAAATGATTTGTTTTTTTCCCTTCCCCTCCACAAATTATACCAACATCAAATACAGTGAAAGCAGGAGTTATACCGTGGGGGACATACAAAGGTAACAAAGAAATCATCTTATAAATACGTTAGAAACAATTGCATGAAAGGAAAAAAAAAAGCAAAAAAAACATTTGAATACTTATCTTGGGGTTCATTCCCCTAACATCAACTTATCTGACCTTTTCTGCTTGTCTCTATATACTAGTTATTGCAATTAAGGGAAACCATGGGATCTATGTTTCTTTGGGCCTGGCTTACTTCACTTATATGGAACCAACCCAGATGCCCCTCAGTAGATGAATGGATCAAGAAAATGTGGTATATATACACAATGGAATTTTATGCCTCCATCAGAAAGAATGACACTGCCCCATTTGTTAGGAAATGGAAAGACTTGGAAAAAATTATATTAAAAAATTTCTTTAGGTAATACCTAGATGGAATTCATTCAGGTGTTTTATCATGATAAAAAAAATGGCTTTATTTCTTTAGTGCTGCTCTCCTGGGGCTTGAACTTTGAGTCAGGGTGCTGTCCTTGAACTTTTTTGCTCAAAGATAGCACCTACCATGGGAGCCACAGCTCCACTTCTGGCTTTTTTTGATGAATTGGAGATAAGAGTCTCATGGGCTTTCCTGTTTGGGCTGGCTTTGAACCATGATCCTCAGATGGCATCCTGAGTAGTTAGGATTACAGGTATGAGCCACAAGCCCCTAGGCATGTCTTTAATTTTTATAAGAAGTTGTGTTTCAAGGTATTTTAGTTTTTCTTTTTTGCCATTCTGGATTTAGAATTCAGAACTTTGTGATCAACTACTCCCGTGTGTGTGTGTGTGTGTGTGTGTGTGTGTGCGCGCGCGCGCGCGTGCGTGCGTGCGTGCGTGCGTGCGTGCGTGCGTGCGTGCGCAGACCTGCGTCTACATGCATGAATGTGTGTGCATGCATGTGTGGGCTGAGCGTGGGGCTTGAGCTTCCTTTCAAGGAACAACTCCACTTTCAGCTTTTGGTAGTTAATTGGAGATAAGAGTCTCACAGACTTTCCTGCCTGGGCTGGCTTCAAACATCGATCCTCATAACTCAGCCTCCTAAGTAGCTAGGATACAGGCATGAGTACTGGCTCCAGCTAGTTTTCTTTTATTTTTGCTCTTTTGTAAAGTCTAGGATGTGAATTTAGGGTTTTGCTAGGCTGACAGTTTACCTCTTGAATGATACTTCTAAATTGCTTTTGCTGTTTATTTTGGAGATGGAGACTCTGGCCTCAAACCCTTAAGTCTTGGGATCTCAGCCTTCTGAGTAGCTAGAATTACAGGTGTAAATCCCCAGCACCTGACTAGTTACTTTTCAAATAGGGCCTTGCATTTATGTCTAGTTTGTCCTGGACTGTAATCCTCCTGTTTAAGGTTCCTAAGAAGCTGAGATATTGGTTGGGAATGAATCTTGTGAACTTTCCTGGGCTTTCTCAAACTATTTACTCCCAATTTCTACTTTCTGAGCGGGGAGGATTATACATATGACTGACCCATTGTGCCTAGTTGTCTGTCAAGTTTTAAAGGGAGAAGTCTTTACTGGTAACCTTAAAGCTAAATAATACATAGGCACAAATCTTTTGCTTTAAAGTTGAAGATATCCAGCTAGCTGATTTGCCCATGTTATTACAGAAATAGGATGGTTACTCAGGTTGTTTCTGTTTCTAGGCAGTGCTTTTAGTAAAGCATTATGCCTGTGATCATTATAATGAAAATATTAATTAGTTCCACTCAATGAATTTTTATTTTTAATCTTTATACTGTATTGAGAAATCTTAGTAGAGTTATTTGTATGTTTTAAAAGATGCTTAACCTGTATTCAGAATTTATGTTGTGACTATTAACACTGTTTATAGCTGGAGTCAATGGTGCACGGTTACACTTTTCTTTCTTGACAATTTTGAAAACATGGCATTGCTTTAATTAATGGAGTCCAAGCAAAAAGAAAGGAAGGGAGGAGAGGAGAGAAATAAAATAAAATCTCACAATCGTTTTGTTTTTTAGTTACTTTGTTGGGATGTGTGGTGATGGTGCAAATGATTGTGGCGTAAGTATAGATTTTGTGATTTACTTTTGTGGTTTTTACTTTAGTCTAAGTGACATTCATAAAACTTAAACCAGTTTTCTTGACATCATTAGGCCTTGAAGAGAGCACATGGAGGCATTTCCTTATCTGAACTTGAGGCTTCAGTGGCATCTCCTTTTACCTCTAAAACTCCTAGCATTTCCTGTGTGCCAAACCTTATCAGGTAGTACAAATTGGAATTTTTCTCATTGTTTCCTTGTATCTTGCACTAACAATATGGAAGGGAAAATTTGCTTTGTGTGTTGAATAGTACAATTTAAACTAACTTATTAGCTTATTAGTAATTTTTCATTTCTTCCAATTCTCCTTGAGGATAGTGTTTTGTTTGTTTTTGTCAGTTGTGCGGCTTGAACTCAGGGTCTGGGTACTCACTGTCCCTGGGCCGCTTTGTACTCAAGGCTAGTGCTCTACCACTTGAGCCACAGTGCCACTTCTGGGTTTTGAGTGGTTAGTTGAAGATAGGAGTCTCACAGGGACTTTTCTGCCCAGTCTGGCTTCGAAATGCGATCCTCAAATCTTAGCCTTCTGAGTAGCTAAGATTACAAGTGTGAGCCGCCTGTGTGGACTGAGGGTAGTTCTTTTGATAAGCATTTTGTTGTAGCTGTTGAATGTGGATAATTACCTGTCAAGATAGGACTGTTTTATGGGAGGGGTTTAAAGTGCTTTTATTTACATGTCAACATTTGTTTTTCACAGGGAAGGTCGTGCTGCTTTAATGACTTCCTTCTGTGTGTTTAAGTTTATGGCATTGTACAGTATCATACAGTACTTCAGTGTTACTCTCCTGTATTCTGTGAGTATTAATATTGTACATAGAGCTGGCATTTAATATTAAGACACTTAAGGTACTGAGCATATGTTTGATATAGAATGCATCCATTCATATTGAATTATTTAAAGTAGTGTCTTTTAGATTTATTTTGAGATTACTATAGTTTGAGTAACCGATTGGACATCTTTCTTAATAGTCTTCCAAATGTTAGTCAGGAGAACTTAGAATCATTGCTAACTTTTCTTTACATTCACAAGGAATGGGGACAATGAGAAATTAAGTTTCAGCAATAGTTTGTAGAACTATGCATTTGAAGAAACAGCATAAACAGAGCTTATCCATAGGTACTCTTATTAGAATTTACATTTACTCTATCAGAATTTATATTTATAGGGATCTTACTGTACATTTTTTTCCTGATAATGTTTATCAGTGACAGCCAAAGAATTCTGAGAACTCTTTTCCTCATGTATATCAGAAGGCTTGGGCACTCGTGGCTCACACTTGTAATTCTAGCTGTTCAGATCTTAGAATCGTAGTTTAAAGCCAGCTTGGGCAGAAAAGTCCCTGTGAGACTCTTAACCTCCAATTAATCACCCAAAAACCAGAAGTGGAGCAATGGCGCAAAGTGGTAGAGTGCTAGCCTTGAGCAAAGGAACTCAGTAACAGCACTCAGGCCCTGAGTTCAAGCCCCATGACCGAAAGAAAGGAAAAGAAAAAAAAAAGAAAATACCAGAAGAGATGAGGCTAAATATTAAGGAAACATCAATATATTCAAAAATGTTGCATATCTTGAGTAAAAGCTTATGTTTGCTTTTTTTATTAATTCAAAAGTTTATGAGTTTTAAGGAGATACAACTCATATCTTTAGTCAAATGTTTGAAATGTATGTTCTGATTAGTTTCAAAGGCAAATGTATTTCAGTTTTTCTTTTCTTTTTTTGACAATACTCAAAATTGAACATGAGACCTTGCACATGCTAGACATATGCTCTTGTTATTTGCCATTCATGCCTCTAGCCCATGTGTTTTAAGCAAATTCAGGTATCATTTTGAAGTTGTCATTATTGGGGAAAACCAGTCTACAACCTGGGAATAATGCTATAAAAATAGTTTCTGAAAAGTAATTATGTCTTAAAATTATCTTGTAGATTTTAAGTAACCTAGGAGACTTCCAGTTCCTCTTCATTGATCTGGCAATCATCTTGGTAGTGGTATTTACAAGTGAGTATTTTTCTTTACTCATTTTAAAGTATATTAAAATTATTATATGGGGCTGGGAAGGTAGCTCAGTGGTAGAGCGCTTGCCTTGCATGCATGAGGCCCTGGGTTCGATTCCTCAGCACAACATAAGCAAAAAGAAAAAAGCCGGAAGTGGCGCTGTGGCTGAAGTGGTAGAGCACTAGCCTTGAGCTGAAGAGCTGAGGGATAGCGCCCAGGCCCAGAGTTCAAGCCCCACGACCGGACCTCTCTCCCCCCCAAAAAAAATTACTATATGACTTATTGAACTTCAATAAATTTTTACTTCAACAATTACAACAGCATATGGCAGTCCAGATTCCCAATGAATATGTCTTATTGTTTTCCCTTTTTTTTGAGAGGATGTTTTAAGTCAATATGTCCATTTGCCACTGAATATTACATTTATAGTTGTAAAGATCAGGAAATTTAGCATTGATATATTGTCCAAAGCCCATATTTATATTATGAATATGGGCTTATCTAAGTCAATAGACTGTTACTTTTTGGGGAGAATATCACACTATATCCTTTTGGATGCATCATAAAGGGTGCACAGGTAGTGGTTTGTTCCAGTACTGGTGATATATCAGAATGATGTAATGGAGATAGGGCCCATAAGATCAACTAAAAATTCACAAATAATCAATAATGGAAAAAAATAAGTGAGAGATATGAGAACGTTAGTGAATAGAAGGCATATTGTGTTTAGATCATTGAAAGATCCTGGTTTGACATTTTGGACTAAAATTCATTTTGAAGAGCAAGAGAAGGGGAGAGGAGTGGGGTTTTTTTTTGTTTTTGTTTTTTTTTTGTTGTTGTTGTTTTGGTGGTGATGGTGGTGGTGGTTTTTATTCCTGGAGCTTGAATTCGGTTCGGGCACTGCTCCTGAGCGTTTGTGCTCAAACACTAGTACTCTACCACTTAAGCCATAGCTCCACCGCCAGCTTTTTTGGTAGTTAGTTGGAGATAAGAGTCTCACAGGGTCAGGAGTTGGTGGCTCATGCCTGTAATCCTAACTACTCCAGATGCTGAAATCTGAGGACCACATTTCAAAGCCAGCTTTGACAGGAGAAAGTTCATGAGACTTTTATGTCCAATAAAACTTCTCAGAGAAAGTCAAAAGTAGCACTGTGGCTCAGGTGGTTGAGCACTACCCTTAAGCAAAAGCAGCTCAGGGACAGTGCCCAAGCCTTGAGTTCAAGATCCAGAACTGGCACGCGTGCACCCACGTGCACGTGCCCACACACAGGCACACACACACAAAGTCTCAGGCTTTCCTGTTTGCACTGTCTTTGAATTGAGGATCCTCAGATCTCAGCCTCCTGAGTAGCTAGGATTACATGAGTGAGCTAACTCCTCCAGGAGAGGAGCTTTATAGTGAAAAATTTGGTGGATACCACCTTAATAGGTTATCAAAAAAACATTTTTTGCTATCATATTTAAAATGCTTAAGTCTTCGTTAATGTCTTCTTTAGAGGAGACATTCAGGCTTTTGTTAATATCTTTTTTTTCAATTGTGAAAGTAACGTACAGAGGGGGTTACAATTACATAGGCGAGATAATGAGTACATTTCTTATCAAGCATTGTTGCCTCCTCCTTTGTTTCCCCTTCCAATTCCTTCCTATTCCTCCCATCCCCCCTAACCAATCCTTCCCTTTTGTTAATATATTAATGTCCGTTTCCCTTCCTTTCCCCTTTCCTTTGAGATTGGTTTTATTGTTTAGCCAGATTGTCCTCAGATTTGTTAATCTCCTACTTCAGCATTCTGAATGCTGGAATTCTATGTCTGTACCACTGTGCCTGTCTTATATTTAGTATTCTCTTTGTCCTAAAGTTTCCTCAATAGATAATGTAAAAATTCTTGAATCATTTTTGAAAAGCCTAAATTTGTTTACATTTCATTTACTAAATAAGTGTGGCATCCGACTTAGCTTTTAAAAATTTGTATTAATAACAAAGATATTGTATCTGTTTTTCAAATGAATTTTTTATGTCTTATATATAGTTAAATAGCTTAGACATAAAATTTCCATCTTTTTCTTTTCAATATAGTGAGTTTAAATCCTGCCTGGAAGGAACTTGTGGCACAAAGACCGCCTTCAGGTCTTATATCTGGGGCACTACTCTTCTCCGTTTTGTCTCAAATTGTTATCTGCATTGGATTTCAATCTCTGGGATTTTTTTGGGTCAAGCAGCAGCCGTGGTATCCATCTTTAGAGTAAGTTTGTCAAGTCATGTAAAAAAAAAATTGGAAAATGTGTATAATGTGTATATTTAAAGGTGAGACTAAAAATGTAAAAAAAGTTGCAGCTTCAGTAATTTTTTTTGGGGGGGGGGGTCCAAACTCTTGGGCCTGGGCACTGTCCCTCAGTTCTTCACCTCAAGGCTAGCATTCTACCACTTGAGCCACAGCACCACTTCCAGCTTTTTTTTTTCTGCTTATGTGGTACTTGAGGAATTGAACCCAGGGTCTCATGCATGTAAGGCAAGCGCTCTACCACTGAGCCACCTTCCCAGCCTCCCAACTTTTTTTTTTTTGTCTTTTTGTCTGTTGTGGGGCTTGAACTCTGGCTTGGGCGTTGTCCCTGGGCTCTTCAGCTCAAGGCAAGTGCTCTATTGCTTGAGCCACAGCGCCACTTCCAACAGCTTGACTAAATTTACTTACATTTGCCTCTATATTATGGTAATTCCTAGGTATAGGAGAATGTCTTAGCCTGCTTTTTGTTGTTATTTACATCATGCCATAGACTAAATTAAAAAAAAAGTGTTCTATTTTTAGCTCATGGTTTTGGTGCATGGATAAAGATGGTCTTTTTGCTGGCAGTGACTTAAGGCATTGCTAGGACATCCATGATGAAAAACTTGAGGAAAAAAGTCTTTTATTACAGATCAACTTTGGAGATAACCCACTACAGTTCAAAGCCAGCCCCAGCAGGAAAGTCTGTGAGACTCTAATCTCCAATTAACCACCAGAAAACTGGAAGTGGTGCTGTGGTTCAAGTGGTAGAGCACTTGCCTTGAGCTGAAGAGTTGAAAGACAGCACCCAGGCCAAGCTTCAGGACCTATTTTTAAAAAAAAAAGGGGGGGGGGGCTGGGAAGGTGGCTTAGTGGTAGAGTGCTTGCCTTGCATGCATGAGGCCCTGGGTTCGATTCCTCAGCACCACATAAGGAAAAAAAAAAAAACAGAAGTGGCGCTGTGGCTCAAGTGGTAGAGCGCTAACCTTGAGCTGAAGAGCTGAGGGACAGCGCCCAGGCCCAGAGTTCAGGCTCCATGACTGGACCAAAAAAAAAAAAAAAGTAGTAGGTCTATTTACCTTTACTCAAATTACTTCCACTGTTCAAAAAAAGGGGTTTATTACATATTTTTTACTTAGTTCTAAGTGTGTGTGTGTGTGTTTTGTATGTATGTGAGTTAGGCCCCAGGCTTGAACTCAAGGCCAATGCACTGTTCTTGAGCTTTTTTGCTCAAGGCTAATGCTCTGCCACTTGCCACAGCTCTCTTTCTGGCTTCCTGGTGGTTAATTGGAGATAAGAGTCTCATGGACTTACATGGCTGGGTTGGCTTCCAGTGACCCTCAGATCTTAGCCTTCTAAATAGCTGGGATTACAGGCATGAGCCACTGGCACCCTGCTATTTCTGTTTTTTTTTTAACTGGTTGCCATATCTGGCTAAATAGAAAATTTTTATTTTCCTTCCTTTTGGCCTTTTTGCAATATATAAACAGCAATTTGCTTCTGTTAGTTGCCATACTATTCAAAGCATCTAAGGTAAAATTGATTTCTTCTGGGAAGTGGGTATTATATTTACTAATGAAAAAATGTTTTTTGTGTATTCTAGCGCTTGTAATACAACAAGAAGCCTATTTCAGAATTCTTCACACTTAGAGAATGAAACTGAACTTGATACACATAATATACAGAATTATGAAAATACCACAGTGTTTTTTATCTCCAGTTTTCAGTACCTCATAGTGGCAATTGCCTTTTCAAAAGGAAAACCCTTCAGGCAACCTTGCTACAAAAATTGTAAGTTTGATGTTCATTGTCATTTCCCACCCTGATTCTTTCCTGTAAAGATAATGGTGAGAAAGCTGGCCATGGTACCACAAGACTGTGATCCCAGTCTGCACCCTGGAGACAGAGGTAGTAGGAACTTGAGCATGAGGCCAGCCTGGGCTCACATTTGACAGTCAGTCTTAAAAAACAAAGCTCACAAAACAGTTGATTAATAGGTAAGAGAGAAGTGTTTAAACTGGCTTCCCAAACTGGTTAAATAGATCTTCACAGGTCTATTTAAGACTGTTTACTGTCTGGATATACTTCCATGAAAATTGTTATGATTTAAAATTTAATTTTAAATTAAAGCCACCAGTGTTAATTAAACATTGCTGGTTTTTATATCCTGTTATTTTTCACTCTAACTTTTATTTCTACAACCTATTGCAGGGAAAGTTAGAATCAAAAGAGGAACAGAGGGTCCTCAAGGGACACAGTGAGTATTATGTGTTCCTTCTGGGTGATCTGAGTAGTATCAACTGCCTTTTTAAAAAAAGTCTAACACTGCTGTGGCCAATGCTCACCCGTGGAAATCATTTCTATCACTTTGCACTGAAGAAGCACCTAAAAGAATGGAGGTTTGAAATTTTCCACCCTGCTTTATGATCCTATGAGCCATAGGAGGCTCTTGTGAACCTGATTAACTTTTATAAATTTTGAGACAGGGTCTTACTACAAAGCCCAGGATGGCCTCAATATCCTCTTACCTCTGCCTCCCAAGTGCTAGGATTACTGACCTGTACTACCATGTTAGCACTTCTTTTATAGTCTTTTTATCATTTTCCATTTGTGTACTACACCAGCATTTTTCCCCCAAAGGGGAAGAAGTTTGAACTTGCAGCCTTGTGCTTGCTAGGCATGTGCTTTATCCCTGAGCCATACTTTCAATCCTGAATTTTTAAAATTCTTACTAGCATATATTAATTTGAGGGGGTGGGGTGGTGTTCATTTCCCCTTGACATTTTTCACACATATAAATATATCTCAATCAGCCTCACCTCTGTTTTTCTAGTGCGCCCTCCCCCCCTTGCTTTTTTTTTTTTTTAAAAAATAATAGGATGTACTTCCTGCCCAGGCATACTCCTGGACCACTGTTCTTTTTTTTTTTCTTCTTCTTTTGGTGCTAGTCCTGGGGCTTGAACTTAGGGCCTGAGTCCTATCTTTGAGCTTTCGGGCTCAAAGCTAACACTCTACTACTTGAGTTATAGCTCCACTATTGTTTTTTTTGGTGATTAATGGAGATGAGTATCATGGACGTTGCTGCCTGGGCTGGCTTGAAATGCAATGCTTAGACCTCAGCCTTCTAAGTAACTAGGATTACAAGTGTGAGCAGCTAGCACCTAACCATGCCCTGCCTTTTAAGTTGATACAGAGTCTCATGGACTTTCTTTTCTGCCCAGACTGGCCTGCAATTATGATCCTCCCAATCTTAGTCTCCTACATAGTATTTGCCACCAAAGCCCAGGTGTGTGTTGCAAAGGGGTCTTGAGTGTATACCTTGATATTTCAGATCTCGGTGTCCCAAGTAGCTAGAATAATAGATATAAGCCACTAGTACATTGCTCTACCAGCACTTTCTTTTTTTCCTTTTCCTTTCTTTCCCTCCCTCCCTCCCTCCCTCCCTCCCTCTCTCTCTCTCTCTCTCTCTCTCTCTCTCTCTCTCTCTCTCTCTCTTTCTTTCTTTCTCTTTCTTTCCTTTCTGTACAGAGGAGTTACAATTACATGGATCTACCAGCACTTTCTTTTTTTTTTTCAGGTAAGGGGTAGGTTTATTCAGTAGACCTGCTGGGACCAGGCACTCCACGTGGCTGGGAAAGGCCTGGGAATGAGAGAGAGCTGGGAAAGAGGAAAGAGCGAGGGAGCAGAGAGAGCTAGAAAGGAACAGAGAGAGAGAGCTAGAAACGAACAGAGAGAGCAGAGAGCTAGAAACAAACAGAGTTACCAGCACTTTCTAAACACTTTTTTTTTAGTTGACAATAGTAACTTTTTTTTTTTTTGGCCAGTCTTAGGGCTTGAACTAAGGTCCTGGGTACTGTCCCTGATTTTCTTTTGCTCAAAGCTAGCATTCTGTCTTACTTCTGGCTTTTTCTGAGTAGTTTATTGGAGATTAGAGATAAGTCTTATAGACTTTGCTGCCCAGGCTGGCTTCAAACTGCAATCCTCAGATTTCAGCCTCCTGAGTAGTTAGGATTACTATGAATCAGTCACTGGCACCCAGCAATAATAACTTTTAAGTGACTAAATAACATATTACATTAATCGTTACTTTTATGCAATAGAATGTTACAGCTCTTGTTTATAAAAAAAATTTTAGAAAAATCTTTTTACTCAAAAGAGGATCCCTATTTTGAAATTTATTTTTATTTTTTGTGCCAGTAATGAGGCTTGAGCTCAGGGCCTGGGTACTGTCTCTGACCTTTTTTGCTCAAGGCTAGTATTCTATCACTTGAACCACAGCTCTATTCCTTTTTTTTTTTTTTTTTGGCCAGTCATGGTGCCTGAACTCTGGGCCTGAGCGCTGTCCCTCAGCTCTTCAGCTCAAGGCTAGCGCTCTACCACTTGAACCACAGCACCACTTCCGGCTTTTTTCTTTTTGCTTATGTGGTGCTAAGGAATCGAACCCAGGGCCTCATCCATGCAAGGCAAGCACTCCACCACTGAGCCACCTTCCCAGCCCCCACAGCTCTATTCTATCCCTTCTCCCTCTTCTTCCCCTTCCTCTTTCCCTTCCCTTTCCTCTCCCCACCTTCCTCCCCCCATTTCCTTTCTTGTTTTCTTTTCCCTTCTCCTTTTCCTTCCCCTCCCCTTTGATTTTCCTTTCCCTTTCTGTTTCCATTTCTGTTTCCTTGTATTTCCTGCCCAGGCTGGCTTCAAATCACAATCCTCAGTCTCCTGAGTAACTAAGATTACAGGTGTAAGTCACCAGTACCTGAGGCCATTTGTTTTTGTTTTTGGTCGGTGGGGCTTGAACTCTGGGCTTGGGCACTGTCCCTGCTCTTCAGCTCAAGTCTAGTGCTCTACCACTTGAGCCACAGTGCCACTTCCGGTTTTGGAGTGGTTTATTGGAGATAAGAGTCTCACAGACTTTCCTGCCCAGGCTGGCTTTGAACCGAGATCCTCAGACCTCAGTCTCCTGAGTAGCTAGGATTACAGGTGTGAGCCACCAGCGCCCAGCGCCATTTGGTTTTTAATCCTATCAACCAAGTCTCAGAGAACAGTTTTCCCACTTTTGGGATGTATGTTAGTATAACTTTCAGCACAAGCTGCTAAAACTATGTAGTATGTTTACATGTTTGTGTGTACACAGTTTTAAAGAGAAATAAATGTTGGCCTGTGGTTTTGAAATGTTAGCAAGGTTTATATTTACAAGTGACTTTCATTTAAAAATAACATTTTTACACTTACACTTACAGTCAAAAACGATAGTAACTTTTTTTCCCTATTGAAGTTTTTATGATGAGATGCTGGTTAGTTAAAGTCACTAAAGTTTTGAGTTTGAAACTGATTTTAATTAACAAATAACTTACAAATATCCAAATCAGAGAAAAGAGAATAAATATACTTGGGCTTATCAGTATAATTAGAAGATTTCTGAGTCTCTCTTCTGGCTTATATAAGAAGTGCTTATATATGGATACATATAAAAGTATGTATATGCGTAACAAAATGGCTATGAGCAGAGAGGTTGGTTTGTTTGTTGTTTTTTGGGATTTTTTTTTTTTTTTTTTTTTGTCGTGGATGCTGTTCCTCAGCTCTTAAGCTCAAGGTCACAGTGCCACTTCTGACCTTTTCTGTTTATGTGGTGCTGAGGAATCAAAGCCAGAACCTCATGCATGCAAGACAAGCACTCTTAACACTGGGCCACCTTTCCAGCCCCAAGAAGGAGTTTTTGTTTTTGAGTTAGGAAAGTGGTAGAGAGCTACTGTTAGATGTTTTCACTGTTGCCAGCTTCCATAGTTAGCTGTAAGGTTAGTCCACATTTACAAACAGCAAATACCTAGTCCTGAAAATAAATGTTCAGTATTTTTACAATCAATAATAGCTGACATATTTTGTATGTTTTACATGATAATCTCATTTTCCCATATGTAGTCTATTCTCATATTTGTAAAGTTATATATTGATATTAACAATATTGTAGCTACCTATTTGGAGGGCATAAAAATAAATGTCTACAATGATATATATTTTATTTGAAAGTACTGATTACTTTCTGAAATACTATTGAGCTTAAAGCTAATGGGCTTTAGATATCTTTCTTGTAGGAAATAATAGTATATACTTTATTTCATTAACTTAAATAAAAAATATTCAAACCAAATTTAGGAATGACAGTATACCCTTGTTACTGGATCCCTTTTTATTTATTTTGTGCTAGTACTGAGGCTTAAAATCAGTGCCTCTTGCTTGGCTTTTTGTTCATGACATGAGCTATATCACTTGAGTCATGCTTCCAGTTGGGCTTTTTGCTGGCTAATTGAGCATAGAATCTCCTGGTTTAGTCTGTCTGGCCCTGAACCTCTATATAATCATATGTTAGCTTCCTGAGTGTCTAGGATTATAGGCCTGAGCCACGGTACCCAGTGAGTCCCCTTGAAGAAATTTCCTAATTTGATTTTCACTTTGTTTTCCAGATTTTTTTGTTGTATCTGTGATTATTTTGTATGTCTTCATATTACTCATCATGTTGCATCCAGTTGCCTCTGTTGACCAGGTTCTTCAGGTAAGGCTCAGGCATATCATTTACTACTTATGGTGGTTGACAGTCTCTGGAGTAATGGTAGTTAAGACAGTAATAGGAAATGATACTTCTGTATTACATGGAATTTAAACAGCCAAATTAGATTCAGCATGTTTCTTTCATACAAGGGTTTCCAAGATCTGTCTCACTCATGTTCTTATATCACTGAAGAAAAGACTAAGCTGCCTCCATGTCTTTTTTCCAGCATCTCTCTCTCTCTCTCTCTCTCTCTCTCTCTCTCTCTCTCTCTCTCTCTCTCTCTCTCTCTCTCTCGTCGGTTGTGCGGCTTGAACTTGGCACCTGGGTGCTGTCCCTGAGCTCTTCAGCTCAAGGTGAGCACTCTAACACTTGAGACACAGCACCACTTCTGGTTTTCTGGTGGTTAATTGGATATTAGAGACTCATGGACTTTTCTGCCCAGGCTGGCTTTGAACCATGATCCACAGATCTCAGCCTCCTGAGTAGCTAGGATTACAGGCACGAACCACTGGCACCCAGCGATCTCTACCTTTCTTAATACAGTTATATTAACCTATACTCCAGTGAATAAAGAATGTAATTAAAATAGAAGCTTTTATTGACTATACTTATTTGGTCTCTGCTTCCTTCTGTTTCCCTTTGTCTACTAATGTCCCTTAGTCTTAAGATGGAAGAAGAAAAGAAAAACATTGATCTTTATATATCATTGCCCTATGTGTTGCTTTCTTTCTCAATATGTAGCCCAGGTTGGCCTTAACTTTGTGATCTTCCTACCTCTGCCTCCCTAGTAGTGTTAGGTTTATAGATGTGTATTGCCATGTCCAGCTTAATGCTGCTTCTTGAGTTGTCTACATATGACTTTATTCATAATAATCTGAGCCCTCATCCAAAATAGAAATAGGTATTACCAGGTACCTGTGTAATCCTAGCTATTCAATAGGAGGCTGAAATCTTAGGATCTAGCCTGGGTGGGAAAGTTTGTGAGACTCTTATCTCCAATTAACTACCAAAAAAGCCAGAAGAAGAGCTTGTGGCTTAAGTGGTAGAGTGCCAGCCTTGAACAAGCCCCAAGACAGCACCCATACTCTTTTTTTTTTTTTTTTTTTTTTTTGGGTCAGTCGTAGGACCTGAACTCTGGGCCTGGGTACTGTCCCTCAGCTCTTCAGTTTCAAGGCTACCACTTGAGCCACAGTACCACTTCCGGCTTTTTTCTGCTTATGTGGTGCTGAGGAATTGAACCCAGGGCCTCATGCATGCAAGGCAAGCATTCATACCACTGAGTCACCTTCCCAGCCCAACACCCAGACTCTTGAGTATAAGCTCTGTGTGTGTGTGTGTGTGTGTGTGAGAGTGTGTGTGTGTGTCCGTCCGTCCGTCCGTCCGCTGATAAAATACTTTTAAATACTTTTAAACTACCGTCTTTGCATGCAAGGCAAGCATTCTACCACTGAGTCACCTTCCCAGCCCAACACCCAGACTCTTGAGTATAAGCTGTGTGTGTGTGTGTGTGTGTGTGTGTGTGTGTGTGTGTGTGTGTGTGTGTGTGTGTGTGTGTGTGTGTGTGTGTGTGTGTGTGTGTGTGTGTGTGTGTGTGTCCGTCCGTCCGTCCGTCCGTGTGCTGATAAAATACTTTTAAACTACCGTCTTTGAGACTACCTGTCAAGTTTGTATCCATGGCTTCCCATGAGCTGGGACCACAGGAATAAAGCCACCACACCCAGCTTATAGACTGAGAGGAAGGCTTCCTAATCTTTTTTCTGGGGCTTACTTTGAACTGTAATCCTTTTGATTCCCACCTCTCTGGCTGTGGGAATATAAGTATGAGCCACTGTACCCAATAGCTCACATCTTTTTCTTTTTCCTTTTTTTTTAAAAAAAAGTAGACAGCAAGTTTATTTGAAGGTGAAATTAAAGCAATTAAAGCAAAGTAGGGAGACTGAAGAGAAGGGCTCTGAAGAAGAGTCCAATGGAATTTTCTGGAAGGGCAGTTTTCTATTACGGAGCTCCTCTTAGGTCTCTTTTCTTGGCTTTGTGGTGATTACTTGATGGCTTGTACTTGTACTGCCTTGACTCTCTACATTGGTTGAGTGGACACCCAGGCCATTATAGGGAAGAAGTGTTTGAGCAGGAACTCTTAGGCACAATCCACTTTTTAATCCCCAGCTACCTAGCAGTTACCTCTCTTTACCTCATTCCCTCTTCTGGGATGGAAACCCTAACTGCAATTAGGGAATAGGAGCAACAGACTTCTCTTGCTGCTTTCTGCTAAGAGAGGGCACAAATCTAGGATTTGTGAAAAGAAAGTAAGGAGTCTCCAAACAGAAAAGCCCCAAAGAGGAGTCCTAGGTTTTATATTTTGTACTTTAGTTTTATCTTTGTCTCAGTTAGTACCACATTGTCCATATTACTATGCCTATATAATAATGAGTATGATTTACCTCAGTCTACCTGTTCTTGAGCTTTTTCTTTTAAATTTATTTTTAGTTTGTCAGGTACCAAGAAAAGCATTATTGGAATTAGAATTACACTGAGATTATTAGGAAATTTGGGGGAGGAATGAGTTTTTCTTTCCATAAGCAATGTCTATTTCTTGAGGTCTGATATTCTTTTTTTTTTTTTAAGTTTTTTTTAGTGTTTTTGTTTGTTTGTTTATTTGTTTTGTGCTGGTCCTGGTCAGGGCCTAAGCACTGAAGGCTAGCACTCTGACCACTTTGAGCCACAGCATGACTTCCTATCTGATAATATTCTCTAAATGATTTTACATATCTTGTAAGATTTACTCCTGGCCTATTGTTTTTGTCCCCTTTATAAGTGATATCTATTTATAATGGTGGCTTTTAATTCCTTCAGATGAGGCTGGTGTATTTAGGGCAGTTATTTTAGAAATTCATCTTACATCCAGAAGCTTAATTAAAAATTTGACACATTGTTAGATTCTCCAGCACTTTCTATTTAGTCGTCACATATTATCTCAAACTGTTTAGTCCTTATATTTTTCATGTTTTATTATATTGATTCTGATGATAGTAGTAGCCTTGTCTTTTTGTTTTGTTTTGTTTTTTGTTTTGTTTTTTTTGGGTCCGGTCGTGGGGCCTGAACTCTGGGCCTGGGCGTTGTCCCTCAACTCTTCAGCTCAAGGCTAGTGCTCTACCACTTGAGCCACAGCGCCACTTCCAGCTTTTTTCTTTTTGCTTATGTGGTGCTGAGGAATCGAACCCAGGGCCTCATGCATGCAAGGCAAGCACTCTATCACTGAGCTACCTTCCCAGCCCTAGTAGTAGCCTTGTCTTGCTCCTGACTTTTAAAGATGATGATGCCTTTTTTAATACTTGTAATTTTTTAAATTTTTTCTGGTAACTGGAGGTTAAATTCAGGAGCTTGAATTTTGACCCTTGGCTTTTCAGCTCAAGGCTGATACTCTACCATTTGAGTTACACCTTGATTTCTTGCTTTTTGCTGGTTAATTACAGAGTTTTAAAAAAGTCTGGCTTAAGCCAGACTCTTCAGATCTCAGCCTCCTTAATAGCTAGGATTATAGGCCACAGCCACCTGCACCTGGCCAAGGTAATGCTTTTTCATATCATTGACTATCATTGAATATATTGTTTCTAATGTATAGGTTGTCAGGTTAAGGAAGTTTTTGTAGTTTCTATAGTGTTGTGTCAACATGGTAGATTTAAAAATTTTATTACCAGTAGTGTCTTAGTTCCTTATGTGCTACCTTTCAGGAATTTGGGTATTCATTTTAGACAAAAATAAACGCTTTTTTTTTTGTCAGTGATGGGGCTTGAACTCTGGGCCTGGGCACTGTGCCTGAGCTCTTCAGCTCAAGGTGAGTACTTTACCATTTGAGCCACAGTGCCACTTCCAGTTTTCTGAGTGGTTTATTGGTGATAAGAGGCTCACAGACTTTCTTGCCTGGAATGGCTTTGAACCATGAATTCTGAGTAGCTAGGATTACAGGCGTGAGCCACAGGAGCCCGGCTAAAATACATTTTATTTCTGCCCTGTCACATCTCTTGCTTCATAGCCACATTCAGCTCACCACCTAAACACTTAACAGCTAGTCTGGCTTCTGTTCCTGCTACTCTACTGATAATTGTTCTTACTAAGGGTGTTAACAGTCTTACTAGTTAAGTTTAATGGGCTGTGTCTGTGTCCTTTTTTTACTTGACTCCAGCATTGTTTGTTTTTTTTTTGGTGGGGGGAGGTCGGTCGTGGGGCCTGAACTCTGGGCCTAGGCGCTGTCCCTCAGCTCTTTAGCTCAAGGCCAGCGTGCTGCCACTTGAGCCATAGCACCATTTCTGGCTTTTTTCCCCCCCCCTGCTTATGTGGTGCTGAGGAATGGAACCCAGGGCCTTGGGCATGCAAGGCAAGCACTCTACCACTGAGCCACCTTACCAGCCCGACTCCAGCATTGTTAGACTGCAACCATGCCATTGTTCTTAAGGAACCTTGGTTTAACTTTGTGATGCTTTTGTTTCTCTCTGGCCAGTTCATTCTGTCTCCATTGTGGTTCTACTCTGTCTATTTCTTAAATGTTCCTCACCTCTTTATTCTTATCCTCCTCTTGTTACTCAGATGATCCCACATGTAGTCATGACTTTACCCATATTTGCCATCAATAAGTTAATGAGTCCTCATCTTTATACCCTGAGCTTAGCCCTCACTTAAGGATGTATTGAATATTACTTGATTGTTCTCATTAGTTCCCCAAATTCAGCATTTTAAAGTTTAAGTCCTTTTTTGGTATCACCTTTCCCCCCTGCCCCCCATCCCAGGACTTGAACTCTGAGCCTGAAGCTGTCCCTGGGCTCCTTTTGCTCAAGTTAACACTCTGCCACTTGAGCCACAATACCATTTCTGGCTTTTATTGTGACTAATTGGGGATAAGAATCTCATGGACTTTCCTGCCTAAGCTGGCTTTGTACTGCAATCCTCATATCTCAGCCTCCTGAGTAGTTTCAGTTACAGATGTGAGCCACCAGTACCTGGCTATTACTTATATCCAAGTCAGAAATAGAACAGAGAAAGAACAGAGAACAGAGAAAGAACAGAGAGACAGGCACATACGTCATCATCTGCTTCACCCCACCCCTCCAGGTCCAATCTCCTGCTTTTCTGTCTTCACTACAGTTCCACTTGCTATACTTTAGTTTGGGATTTATCATCTCTCTCTCTCTCTCTCTTTTTTGGGGGTCCAGTCGTGGGGCTTGAACTCTGGGCCTGGGCGCTGACCCTCAGCTCTTCAGCTCAAGGCTAGCACTCTACCACTTAAGCCACAGTGCCACGTCTGGCTTTTTTCTTTTTGCTTATGTGGTGCTGAGGAAGGATTTATCATCTCTTGACTGCGTCATTGTGGCACTATCCTCATCTCAGACCCTTCTTACTGTAAGGAAATTTTAAAAATTAAATTTTTTTTTTTCCTTTTTGGTGGTACTGGAGTTTGAAATCAGGACCTTATACACAGATGTTCTGTCACTGATCCATACATTGGTTATTTTTGTTCTGAAGTTTTAGCAAGGATTTATTTTAATATAACAGGATAAACTAGGGAGAAATGCTAGGGACATTTCCTGCTCCATATCCAGCAAATAGGAGTAAAAGACTTTCCCATTGGTTATTTTTGAGATATAGTATCATATCCCACCTAAGGTGTTTATCCAGATTATAATTCTCTAATTTTTGCTTGCTTCTGTATCCAGGAAAACAGGAATATGCCACCATGCCCAGCTTCTTCCTTTAAAGTAGTGTCTTATGGACTTTTTCTGCTTGGACTGGCCTGCAGCTAGGATCCTCTCAACCTCAGCTTTTCAATATAGCTAAGATGATAGTTACTATACCCTGAAAATTTGTGGAGAAAGAACCTTTCAAGTTTTTCACTCTGGTTGGCATTGAACCTTGATCCTCCTGCTCTCAGCCTCCCAAATAGCACCTTGCATCTGGTTCACAATAATTTTTTTCTAAATTGGCACGTCATTTGTATTTAGCACTGTATCTTAGTACCTCAGTACTAAATATTTGCTGGCTAAAGGATGGATAAATCAATGGGATTTTTTTTCTTTTATTTTTTTAGACCTTAAAAAAGAATCACATTTTAGCCAGATGTTGTGACATGTGCTATAGTCCCAGCTTCTCTGTGGCTGAAGCAGAAGGGGATCACTTGAGCCCAGGAATTCTTAGCCACATATGAGACATTATTAAAAAAGAAAGAAAGAAAAAGGGGTACAAATGTTAAAGGAGAAATTTTCAAACTTAAAATCTAGTGAAAATTTATGTTATTTCTTAAATTGATGTGTAGAGTTCTTTAAAGAATTTATCTTCATTATAATGTGAAATTTGACCAGTATTAGATGAATATCTGTTGAAAGACAGACTTTTATTTTAAAAGGAAGGACTTAGTTGACAATTTTGATCTAAAAAAGATTGGTTTTTGAGTTTGGATGTATAGAATTTAATGCTAAGTTCAGCTACTTAAGAATTTTATTGGGGCTGGGAAGTTGGCTCAGTGGTAGAGTGCTTACCTCACATGAATGAGGCCCTGGGCCATTCTTCAGCACCATATAAGCAGAAAAAGCCGGAAGTGGCACTGTGGCTCAAATGGTAGGATGCTAGCCTTGAGCTGAAGAGCTGAGGGAAGTGCCCACGCCCAGAATTCAGGCCCCATGACCAACAAAAACAGAGAGAGTTTTATCATTTAAAATGATACATACTTTGGCATTGTTTAGCATTAAGTGGATAATGTGTATGTAGATATGGCACATAATAGGAATTTTGACTTTATAATATATTGCTATAACATCAGCTACATACAACAACTTCAATTAAAATGTTTTGTTTTACAGATAATGTGTGTACCATATGAGTGGCGGATAACTATGCTCATCATTGTTCTTGTCAATGCCTTTGTATCTATCATGGTGGAGGTAAGCACTTCAGCTAGTCAAATGGCTACCTTGTTGCTTTGGGATTCTTGGATAATTTAATGGAAAGTAGAGGAGACTGGTAACATAGAAAGCCACAGTCTTGGTCTCATTGAAATTAGATCATTAAGCTTTTTCTGACCTTTTCCATCAACTGACAGTTGCATTTATGCAGATAGGAGAAAATATGAATAGCCAGTTAACAGGAAAGGAAAGCCCATGAGTATCCAGGTAGCTCCTGAACATTGAGTTCATGAGTGGCCATGTACCATGTGTTCTGTGATGTAAGACTCTTCAGGTAAGGAAGAAAGTTTGAGGGTGGGGTTTGGTACTCCCAACAAATGTAATGATTATTAATAACAAGAGTTTATTGAAAGCATCAAATAATTACAATCTTGGGCTTACCTGATTTCAGCATTTATTGCTGGGACGTTTTCCTTGGTATTTACTTTTGAGTGATATCTGAAGTCTTAAGTACTCTGATCCATTGGATATTGTATATTCTTCTTTTAAGATTGCTTCAGATGAGCTTCTCTAAAAGAAGCTAGCAAGTTCTCATTTGCTATTATTAATATACTTTGGTCTGCTCCCAAAACGACTATAGCAATGTAAGAAGCAGAAGAGGGAGATACAGTTCTAAATTTTTAGGACCTCATAGTATAGGTTTTTTAAAATAAAATTAAGGTAATTTGTTAGAAAAAAAAACTAGACTTAAAGACTAGGCTTCAGAAGTGGCGCTGTGGCTCAAGTGGTAGAGTGCTAGCCTTGAGCAGAAGAGCTCAGGGACAGTGCCCAGGCCCAGAGTTCAAGCCCCATGACTGATAACAACAACAACAACAAAAAAGACTAGGCTCAAAGATAACTTGATATTGAAATTTGAGATATAATGTGTAATGCAACATAGTATTATAGAGACCTTTTCAAGTTGTTCAATAGAAAGCACATTTAAGGCACTGTATTCTAAAAGCATTCCTTTTTCTATAGTATAAATCCCATCTTTCCACTCATATGGTCTTATGCTTACTATCTAAATATTGGTGTTGGATGCTGATGAAATCATACATATGTGTAGGTACAGATACAGGCATCATATCAGGTATTATGTGAAAATAATATACTGCCAAGAAAAGGGTTTCAAATAAGCTTAATTTAATATTGGAAACACTGAATGTTCATATGAAAACTATTTTGTGGGAAATATAGAAGTCTCATTATATTATAAATTTTATGGTTTATCTTTGTTGTAAAAGTCATGTTGTTATTCTTTATCCCTTTGCTTGCAGTATTGTAGTTTTTACTAATGATGCAGCATAGTGTGAATGATTTTAAATGTGCATGTTAAAAACAAATGACTTAAGTCATTTTTAATTCTTAACTCACTGGAATGTCTCTCAGAGCTTCTTCCTTGACACGGTCCTTTGGAAAATTGTGTTCAATCGAGACAAACAAGGAGAGTATCGCTTCACCACACAGCCACCACAGGTTGGAAATCAGCAGTTACTATCAATTCTTTGCATATATCTAGCTCTTTAGCTGTGTTCTCTGTGTTCTTTAGGGCATTCTGTGTGTGTTGCTTCAACCTTTTTTCCTTGAGCTTGGCATTTCATTTCTTGTAAGGAGTCCTAGAAAACTGATGACAAACATTTGTTTAGGCTTTTCAGGACTTCAGAAATGTCCTAAGTCTCCCATTCTGGTACTAATTCTGTGTGTATGTGAAGGTCTTGTCCTCAAAGGTGTGAGTTTCATTTCTGCCTGCATTACATTGTATGTTTTTGGTTTTCTATGTCAAAGTTTTGAATTAGAGTTGTTTCTTCTTCAGAGTCCTAAGAACAAATTTTTTAAATTTATTGTTATTGTAGAGGTGAAATACAGAGGAGTTACAGTTACATAAGTCAGATAAAAAGTAATTTCTTTTTGAACAATGTCACCCCTTCCTCCCTCTCCAAAGTTTTCCTTCTCATCTCCTTGTAGGAGTTGTATAGTTTCTTTTCTTTTCTTTTTTAATAATTTTTATTGATACTAAGCAATTACATAAATTTCACAAATATCACAGTATGGTGGGATAGTGATACTTTTAAGTTAAAGTCACAAACACATTTTAACCTTCATAAGGCAAATAGTCATTATGGTCTATAAAGTTTATGAATTCTATGAGCTTTGAAAATACAACTATTTCTTCCATATCAGGTAACATGTACATTTCTTTCCTTTTGCTTAGTGTTAGCTGTTCCTTCTACCTCTCATTCCCTCCTGCCCATCGCTGCCCTTGAGTTGCTTAGTTCATTTTCATCAACACAACGAAGAAATTTTCAAGAAATTATTTCTGATTTGTTGTCAGTGACTGTGCTTTAAATTTGTCTGGCTTTTTCCAATATAATTTTATTTGCAAGCCAAATACAACTTTTGGAGGCAGTAAAATAACATTATTGGGCTGGGAATGTGGCTTAGTGGTAGAGCTTGCCTAGCATGCATGAAGCCCTGGGTTGTTTGATTCTTCAGTACCACATAAACAGAAAAAGCTGGAAGTGGCGCTGTGACTCAAGTGGTAGAGTGCTAGCCTTGAGCAAAAGCAGCTCTCAGGGACAGTGTTCCCAGGCCCTGAATTGAAGCCCCAGGACTGGCAAAAAATTAACAACAACAACAATAATAATATTTTATACTCAAAAGGATGACGTGCCAGGAGGATTTTATTTTTTTTATCCTTAAGGAGTTGTACAAAGAGTTTTCAATTCAACAACCTGTCAGTTAGAGTACAATGTATCTTGATCAACATTGTCCCTTCCATCTTTTCCCCAAAAAACTGTATCTCTTGGTAGAAAATATGATAGGAAATTTAAATTAGATTTACTTTTTAGACTGCTATCATTGAATTAAAGCTTAGTGAGCAGCCATGAGAACTTGACTGCATAAAATCTCACCCATTTAGAACTTTATGCTTTTAGGTGGGCGATATGCTGTTCTATGTCATTCACTCATCTTTGTGCTATGGAGAAGCTTACAGAGTTCAAAAGGACTGCCTGTCATTTCTGAGTTGAACTACTTAACTCATTTTTATTTACTTTTACCTAAATGGCAATATTGAATTTTAGTTTGGTAATTTAACAGGAGTAATATCCTAGTGACACAAGATTGCTCTATAAGAGGTCCTGTAGACTGCTGTTTTAATTTTCTAATGTTGTGTAGTGAATAATGGTGGTTCTGAAATGATAGGATTAGTCTGAAAATGGCTTTAATTTCTTTTTCTCAAAGTAGTATGTGCTTTGTTGGCTATTTGTGCCTGGTAGTGGGTATGACAGAACTGTGTGGCTGAAGTAAGTAGCTAAATTTTCGCTGTGCCTATGCTTTTTCCTTTTGGCAAGTGACCTCATCTTTACAGAGGGTGAACTTTGGTTCAGATCACTGGTCCTTATGTATGTTTGTATTGAGCAGGCACAGGCCTGGGGAAAGAGTTAAATTTGAGTTTCCAGGTTCTATAAAGAGACCTCTGACTCTAGATCTAAATAGGAAATACATGTTCTGAAGAGGAGTTAAAACTAGTAAGCAATATTTTAAGAACCCCATGACATATGAGAGGAACCCCCCCTTTCCTTATTTTTCAACTAAAATAAGATTTTTCACATCATTTACTTGGTATTTTTTAAAGATTTATTAATGAGTATATCTCCCTTCACTTTTGGAGATACTGAGGTTTGAACTCAGGACCCTGAGCTTGCTATATAGGCACTCTACTGTTAGGCATTATCTCTAATCCATTTGCCCTCATTTCTAAGAGTTTGCATCTCATGAAATTTGACCACTAAAATGTTTTAAGGGAGAGAATGAAAGCAGAGGGGCTTTCAGAACCAGGAGACCCCTCATCCAGCATGTCCCATGTTCTGACTGATTTCTGAAAATCATTGAACAGAGGAGAGTTTTAGCCTTCCAGTTCTATGATCATGAAGTATTATCAAATTGATAGAAAATTTGATAGGAAATTTAAATTAGATTTACTATTTAAACTGCTCTCATTGAATTACCTTATGACAGAGAGTTCTTGTAACATTTTAGCACAGAATAGTATACTTCCATCTTCCGACACTACTGGATGTTACATAAGTTTTCACTGTTTACATTTGTGATCCTTTATTAGCTACTCCTATTAGGCTATGTTTTTATTCATTGATAATTGCTTGCCTCATCCTCCCCCCCCCCCCCCCACCTTCTACCCTCTGTAAACATTTGGCAATGTCAGATGTCAGTAATATTTTTGGTTATTACATGTTGAGGGACAGAGATTATTATTGTGGTAGCTGGTAGAGGCCAGGGATGCTGCTAAGCAATTGTTTTATGGTGATGGAGCAACCTTTCCCAGTAAAGTATTGCCTAGCCTAGGATAACAGTTTTGCTGAAGTTTAAAACCTTGCCGAAAAGTGAAAAGGAAAGTCAGGATAAGAGTAGCTTTAATTGTAGGGTTTCTTTAATATTGTATGTGACTCTTCCCACCTCAGTCCCATTTGCACTGACTGTAACTGTATTCTTTCTGAGGCTCAGTGGAGTCGGTAAAAATTTGTTGAATCAAATCAAAAGCAAATTAAAAAGAGGTTCTGGATAGCTCGCCCCTCAGTTGTAACCCCAGAAACTCACTCTGCTAACCAGCTAATCATTCTGTCATCTTTGTTATTTTTACCTATGTCATTTTCCTATAAGATAAATAGGAAGAAATTGTATATGTGGGAGGAAAAAAAAGCAAATTAAAGAAACAGTCTACAAATAATTGAGGATGTAACTGTTGTATCGGTAGATAATTTTCCTGTCATGTTCTTTAGCAGCCCTATTGTTTTCTCAAAAAAAAAATTAGCCAGAAACACCTTGGTCCATCCTTGACCCTTTGAATAAGACTTCAATGGAGATCTCTTATCTCTGGTTTTCTATAAACTCTACCCTCGAGATCTGTGCTATTCTCTTTATAGAATTTGTAGCTACTGTGCCACTTAAAGAACTAGTATCATACTATCCTGTAATTAGATCTTCTGAGGCCATTTTATTTTTACTAACTCAACATTCTTAGTGAAAAATCAAAGTGTTAACTGTAGTTATCATGCCATTTAGAATATTATTTGAGCTTATTTAAATAGGATGCTAATTTGCATTATTTTATGTTGAGGATTAGTATGGAAGGCTTCTATGTAAACTGAAATATAATACTTATTATACCTTTTTCCTTCAAACATGTCTTTATGCTTATGTACTACCCAGGAAAACATGTCCTAAAAGACTGCTAAGAGCCAATAGTTTAGTCTCAGAATGAACAACTTGGAATACTAAGAAGCAGGAGAATTGTACCTACAGATCTTTGTGAATTCCTTCATGATTTCCCTGAAACTGGCAGGGCCAGTTAATGATTCCTTCCAGAAGTAAACCCAGATCTCTGACTGCTAGACCTGCTATGTCCTCCAGCTTCAGGGACTTGGGCCCTGAATGTTTTTTATAGAGATAAGTGTTCATTCTCAGGCCCCTGTGACGACTTGTCCCGTTCATGTTCTGCCTGCAGTGCTTGCCTTTCTCCCCTTGCCATCACCCTCCCTGCCCCAACTTCTCATTGTAGCACCCCTTTTATTTCCTCCTCAGTGAGTTATATTGTGTTTGTGTATGTGTGTGCTCTATTCATATTTTTAAACTCATAAACCTATGTTTGCATAGATAGTATATTTTTGTGTACAGTATTTGAGAGGAAATAAATGCACAGGAACAACATGTTTGTAATTGTGGTAGAGTTGGGGAATTCCTGTTCCTTGTGATTTTTTTTTAATATAACATGTTTATTGTTTTTTGTTTTGTTTGTCGGTTGTGGGGCTTGAACTCTGGGCCTGGGCGCTGTCCCTCAGCTCTTTAGCTCAAGGCGAGCACTCTACCACTTGAGCTACAGCACCACTTCCGGTTTTTCTGGTGGTTTATTGGAGATGGGAGTCTCACGGTCTCTCCTGCCCGGGCTGGCTTTGAACCGCGATCCTCAGATCTCAGCCTCCTGAGTAGCTAGGATTACAGGCGTGAGCCACCAGCGCCCGGCTAACATGTTTATTGTTTTAAGCAAAAAATGTTTAATGTAAAAACTATCCGGTTGTGATTGTTTTCAATTTATTTCAGTTTTTTTGCTTGTCTTAAATTTAGATACATGTATATATGTATATTTATGTATCTGTATGTAGGTCTTAATTTTAATTACACATGGCTTTTGCTTTCTTAGCCTTGTGTGCATTTTCCTTCAGACTTGTCTAGACAGACAGATTGATTGTTCCTACCTTTTTGTTTTTGAAGCAAGCAGTCAACATTGGCCTTTGTGTTCCTTTAACAATACTGCTTCCCATTAAATAAGTTATGGTTTTCATATTGATTTAGAAGCAGTTGATTTTTCCACAACTGGATTGAAGTATTTTAAAAACTGGGAAAAGAGTAAATTCAAGTAGTGAATCATTGTCTCAGGTTAAATACGAAGTGTTGTATATGTGATGTACTAGAAAGGAGTTGCCATCTGTTATTGACCTACTAAAGAATCCTATACATAGTTATGTCTATGGTCTGTGGCTAGTTACTTCTATACTCTAATGTTTAGCTAAGTTCTTATATATTTCTTTTAAGGGGTGGTAATATAATAGTGGCGCAAAATTATTCATTACACTCAGTGTTATCATAGAGAAGAGGAAGAATAAGTTGTCCTGATATCTCAGTAAGATGAGAAAGACCTCAAGTATGTGAAAAAGTTTTCTTTTTAAAGCATTTCACTATCTTCCATTGGCTACTTTCAAGACATGACTAAATATATATTAGCAGATATGCCTTTCTTGATCATAATTCTTGTTCACATTCAAATAGGTATCTTCAGATTGTGATTCCATTTTGAAGGATTACTTCAGTTGTGATTAGAACTTAGTATAGGCCATGTCCTATTTTGATTGGCAAATAACTACCTAGGATTTCACTTTTACTGAGGAATACTACTACAGGTCCCAGTCATTTAGTTTTTATTTCAAGTTATAACTATAAGGATACCTTTTATTCCTTTATTGACTTCATGTTTTTATACATTAACTAGGAACTCTGCTTTCTGATTTTCCTGCAGTTATTTATCTAAGCTCACAATCATTAATAACATCAAGATTGTTGACAAGGATCTCAAAGTCTGTTGGGCTTTTTATAATAAATTCTAAGAGATAGTCTTTGCTTGCATGTCTTATGTGTCTCTCTCCAGTTGTAGAGCAATAAGGGGAACCAATAAAATAATGTCTTCATTGGGCATAGTGGTTCATGTCAGTAATCCCAGCTACTTCAGAGGTGTAGAGACTTGGAGGATTTTACTTTAAAGCCAGCCTGTGGAAGAGGCAGGGGAATTGGCAAGATCTAATCCAGCAATCCAGGCATGCTGGCACATATTATCTCTATGGTTGGGGGACATAGGTTGGAATATAACTGGGCAAAAATGGAAGACCTTACTGAAAATAACGATAGCCAAAAGAAGCTAAACAAGTGGCAAAACACCTGTGTGTAGCAAGCATCAGGCCCTGAGTTAAACCTCAGTATGACCCCTGCCCTCCAAAAGTTGTTTTTTGTTCGTTTTAGTGAAGCTGTGGTTTTATTTAGTCTTTTATTTTGATACAGGGTCTATGTATCCCAGGTTTGTCTTGAATTTCAGTCCTTCTGCCTCATCGTCCCTAGCTCTAGGATTCTAGGCATGTCCATGCTCTACTGATAAAAGAAGGATAGGCAGATTATGACCCAACAGTATTTATTTCATGTTTCATGGTTTTGGAAAGTGACATTAACAAAAATAATGATTTTTCCGCTACCTTCTTCCAAAAGATAGGTTGGGATAGATTATCATGATTTTCAAATCCAATATTTAAAAAATTCTCTTTCTCTGGACACCAGTGGCTCATGCCTCTAAAATCATAGTCACTCGAGGCTGAGATCTGAGGACCCCTGGTCAAAGCCAGCCTGGGAAGGAAAAAAATCTGTGACTCTTCAATTAACCACAAAAGCTGGAAGTGGAAGTGTGGCTCAAGTGGTGCCAGCCTTGAGCAAAAGAGCTCAGGGACAGTGTCCAGGTCTGGAATTTAAGCTCCATTACTGGCATACACGAAAGAAAAGAGAGAGAAAGAAAATATATTCTTTCTAGTTACTCTGAATATATTAAATGTTTTATGTTATCAAATCTAGATCTGCAAGTTATTTAAAAATACATCAGTACACAACACATAGGTACTATACATAAAATTGAAGAAACTGAAGTTACCATGATAATAAAAAAAAACTCTTTAAAAACAATCTGTTCCTAAATAATTGACAGCTGACTTTTTTACATGGGTTGTGTTCATTTGTTTGTTTTATTCAGAAGTCGTTTTTTATTGTTTTTGTGATAATGTTTCTTCTCCTGTTAAAAACAATATCAATCAGCTAGAGTGTTCTTTTGTCCTAGGAGTCAGTGGATCGGTGGGGGAAATGCTGCTTGTCTTGGGCACTGGGCTGTAGAAAGAAGACGCCAAAGGCAAAGTACATGTATCTGGCACAGGAGCTCTTGATTGATCCGGAATGGCCACCCAAACCTCAGACAACAACAGAAGCTAAAGCTTTGGTGAAGGAGAATGGATCATGTCAGGTCATCACCATAACATAGCAATGACTTGGTGTCATTGGTTTGCTAATAGCAGTGTTCAGGAGAGAGAATGATTTTATGATTTCCTGATCCTGTGTGTCAGAATAGCCACTATTTCAATTTATGCTTCTTCTTCTGATAATATACAGTAATTGATTTGAAAGCTTTGCTTTAAAACACATACAAAAGAGAGAGTGACATTGAATTCAGACCTGGTTATATCTTCATTCAGTAACCTAAGTATTATATAAATATTGTAGAATTTGACTGTTACCCTATGTGATTATTTATATTGGGTACCAGAGAAATCTGGTGTTCAGTAAGTTTTTCAACATTGGCTTTTGAAACTAGTTTGCTTTTTAAAATTTTTTCTCACAACCCCTTTTGACAGGAAATGTTTATAAGTGTGTATATATATATATATATACATATACACATACATATATACACACATATATGTATATTATATATATATGTATGTGTATATATATATATGTGTGTGTATATATATATATATATATATATATATATATATATTATAGGCCCTAAATTTGTGATTGTTAAAAATAAAATGGCTGTTCATTAACCTCCATTGAAAACAAATTGAAAGCCTGATTTCATTTCAGTATTTCTTCCAAAGAATTCCCTGTAAACATACATATAACAGTTCCCTTTGATGGTTAGAAGTTAGGAATGAGGTTGTGTAGTGTTGCTTATAGAACAACTCAGGTAATTCTGTGTATGGTTTATATTTTCTGTGCAAACTGCCTGGGTTTATTTTTCTAATCAGTAAGGTGCTTCACTGCTTCTTGATGTCCTCCAAGTTGTTGAGTGGATCTTGTGCTATGTCTGGGGTCAGTAGTCTACTTTGCTTCACTTGAACCTTGGCAAACCTTTTTCACTAGAAAAAGGCAGTAGATAGAAATCTTATTTTTCTAATAGCTCTTCATACCTCTTTTTGTTCAGAATTTGTTTTATTTTAATTATCTAAAGACAGGATAATAGTGAGCTTTAGTTTTTGCATTTTGTTAGTTAATATTTTACCTTGAAAGTTTTTTTTTTCAAGGTTTCCTGTCAATAATGGGGCTTTTAAAAATTGGTATTGGATTTGAATAACTACTGATTTTTCAAAGCAGTGTGAAATTGGTGAACATTTGTTACAAAGCCATTAGATGGCGCCAGCATACTTTTTTTTGTTAACATTTTTGGTGTGGCAATTTCTGGGAGATAAAAAAATCCAGGAAACAAAGTTAAAGAATTGAAGACATTCAGTGAGCCAAAAGAAGGAAATATTGGAAAGTTTTTCATCTTTCTGTTTTGTCCAATTAATGTTTAAATTCTAGAGGAATTTTAAAGCTACTTTTTAAATACCCACAGTTAAAATTGACATAGGACTGATATTGCTGTAAAGGAACCCTAAATTATTAAAGCAATGTGACGTTGTTCTATGTTCTCACTTAACAATCACATGTTTGTGCTTTTCACTCCTAGCTGATCATTACATAGTTGCCAATCGACCAGGTGTTACCCAGAATTGTAGAACCAAATGTTTCTTCTTATTTATGCTGCAAAGAACTGAATGATGTTTGATAACTGTAGAACATATAAATTACACTCAGGATCACTGTTACTGCTATTGCCACTGATGATTATTACAAAAAATACAATCCATATTTTCATCAAAATGTATAATGTGATATTAATACACATTAGATAAGAACAATTGTTCCATGAATGATTCTGTGAAGCTATGCATCTTAGACCTCTTGAGCTGTGAATTAGCACTATTTTCTATAATTTCATGATCTCTTGATTGTTTTATAATGCTTATATCCACTTAAAATATGCTCAAGTATTACTCTTTAGTGATTTCCACAATTGCAAATTTTATTCTTTGGGTTAAATACTGAAGCATATCATTCCAGTAATTGCCAAGTACAATTTAAAAATCCAGTTATTGATTGTATTTAACATCTTTAAGAGCATGATCATAAAAACCTATTTTTGACATACATATCTTTTAATGTTTAGAGTTAAGGGTTTCTAGCTCATCTCCCCATATAATTTTCATCAAAGGAATAAGGTTTGAGGTAGATGGGAGAGCATCGGTAGGCAGTTAGACTTAAAAAGACAGGATAGGTTTTCAAGGTGAGAATATTATTTGAGGAATATCTGTGAATCCAGGTGTGGCTCCTGCTCAGTGCCATAGACAGTCCTCTCTGTAGGTCACCATTACGTAGTAGTTTTGGTTCTGAGTTTTACATTAAATTATTTGAGTGTATACAGACCTAATTTTTAAAATCTGTACATATATTATTTTGATGTATTAAGATTGATAAATATTGCTGATTTAAATTTTATTTATGCACATACTTAAAGGACAGAAATGTCCGGGAAAGTAATTGTTAAATAATGATATGTAACTTTTTAACTTTTTAAATAAATAACAAGATTTTTAATGTGTGTGTCCCTCAGGGTTGTTTAAAGTTCCCCCCCCCCCCCTTAAATATGCATATGTTTTCTATCTTTTAGCACCAACTGCTGTCAAGCGATGCTGCAAATAATGCTTGAATAAGAGTGGCTAAGCCAACAGCAAAAGAAATACTTTTTATAGTAGTTTTATAATCCTTAAATTCGAAAAGCTTTCCAAATTGCACTTGCATTTAAACAAAACTGTTGCAGTTTTTACTCTATTTATTTCCTTTTCCCATGTTGTTGAAAGTATTGCACAGTTTCAAAAGGCATGGTTAATATATCGATGTTTATGTAGTCTGTTTCAAACCAGCTATTGACAACTATCCAACAAAGAACAGAATTCAAGCTTTAGAAAAAACACACTGAATATTTCATGCATGCAATTTTGACATATCTGAAAATAGGCTTTTGTATATTTATGGTGGGAGGTGGTGGGGAGCTTTTAATAAGGTAGGATGTCAATGTTTGTACAGTCTGGGCATTTACACATATTTTTAATGTATTAAAATTTGGTAATTATGTGCACATGAAATTAATGAAATAGTTTTTTCCTGTTATGATTTGTGAATTCCCTAAGAACCTGGATTTTTTTAAGTAACTTTATATCAGAAATGACACTGCATCTTTATATTTTTAAAATTGTATTGCTGCTCAAGAATGGTACCCTGTTGTCAAAAAGGCATACATTCATAATTGTACATTCAGCATTGTAAATAACCTTATTAAATCTTTTTTTGATTGAAGCTATTAAAAATAAAAACTTAAATGAATTGTGTATTTCTACTATTTTTCCTGTGTTGATATATTGTTTGCTTTTTTTGTTATGACTACGTGCCTCTCTGGATTAATTAATAATTGCTTAGTACTTCCCCATTTCCTTGTTTTCTTCTTTTTAAAAAACACTTCGTTATTGAGAGGGAAAAAGGGAACAGCTTACACTAAGCAAAAGGAAAGAAATGTAAACATCACTTGATGTAGAAGAAATAATTGTATTGTCAAAAAATTCACAAACTTTATGGACCATGATAAAGGCAGTTTGCCTTGTGAAGGTTAAAATGTGTTTGTGACTTTAATTATCACTATTCCACAATACTGTGAAATTTATGTAATCACCTAATCTCAATTAAAAACAAAAAAGAAAAGTGAGAGAAGGGATGGTTTAGGAGTGATGAGTGACAAGCTGTCAAGCGATGCTGCAAATAATGCTTGAATAAAAGTGGCTAAGCCAACAGCAAAAGAAATACTTTTCATGATAGTTTTATAATCTTTAAATTCAAAAAGCTTTCCAAATTGCACTCGGCATTTAAAACTTGCAGTTTTTACTCTATTTCCTTTTCCCATGTTGAAAGTATTGCACAGTTTCAAAAGGTATGGTTAATATATTGATGTCAGACAGCTTGTATTCATATACTGTTTTGTAAATGGGAACTTCTTTGTACAACTACTTAAAAATAATAATAAAGATGTTTTTTAAAAACTTCATTATTAAGTAGTTGTACAAAGTCAGGTTATGAATACAGTGCTCCTTGATCACTGTCACCCCATCCTTTGTTTCCCCTATTTCCTCCCTCCCATCTCTACCCTCAAGTTGCATAGTTCTATTTGTACATGATGTACATTGAATATAATGACTACCTTTGCTCACCCTTCCTCCTCTCACATTTCCCCATCATTACTCTCCTTTGTTAAACAGTTTGATTTAAGCGTGAGTTTTGAGGCTAGTCCAGATAGCATGCCTCATACCACACCAGGCTTGGACCGTCCTGGGATGATGCTCCTCAGTCAGATGCAAAGTAGAACCACATACTAAGTGTCAGGAGCTTGGAGGGCAATGCTGAGATTGTTGGACTTACTACAGTCTATTAGTAGTGATGGTGAGAACTGAAAAGGACCCATGATAACTGCAGAGGCAGTGGTTCTTCCCTCTGGTTAGAACTATGACTAGGAGAACACTGTTGGATCAACACTTGCTGGGCTTACTGTCCTTGGCTACATTAAATACTAATGGGATTCCAGGGCTTTTATTTTTTATTTATCTTTTTATTGAAGTTTGAACTGAGGCTCACACTTGCCAAGGCAGCTGAGCCATACCTGAACCCTTTTTTGGAGATAGTCCCATTTCTGGCATATAAATGGTTTTGAACCCTGATCTGCCAATTATGTTTCTTCTTGAAGCTAGGATAATGGTGCACAATGTTAACATCCAATTACTGATTGAGAAAGTTGTGAACTTTGCTTCCCAAGCTAGCCAGGAACCATGATCTTTCCAATGTGAACCTCTCAAGTAGCTAAAATAACAGGCATCTAGCTTTTGATGCTTTTTTGATAACATCTACATCCTACATAAAATAACTTAGAAAATGCTTATGCTCCACCATTCTATTTGTAGTTCTAGAGGGAAAGTTTACTCTTATGCAATTAAACATTGACTTGCACTTCATTTTGTGCATAATTATAAGAAAAGTGGGCAAAAGAGGATCTAAACTCAGATGAGGCACAAGTGGACTTAAGTTAAATGAGAAGATACTCAGTTTCGCCATCAAACAGGGAAATGGAAAGCAAACTGCTAGGATAAATGGCAACTGAGAAAAAATTTCAAGAATACCATATATGGACAGTGATGAATGGACAGGGATTTTCAAACTTAACAGGTAGCATTGGACATCAGTACAACCCCTTTGAGAACAGGTTGACATTAGTGCAATTGAATACGGGAAGACATCACATCAGCAATGGCATTATTGAGCATGTTCCACAATAGACTCAGCCTTTATCTTTGAAATGGAGAGTCTGGTACTGGAAGTAGAGATGTGTGGCTCAAGTGGTAGAGCACCAGCCTTGAGCAAAAAAGCCAGGTTAGGATGAAAGGCCCTGATTTCCAAAGCCCCAGTACTGGCAGATGGGGGGAAGGGGAAAAGGGAAGGAAAAAAAAATTGAGAATGGACAGGAGGCC